CAATAAACAAACATTTACATAACATTCACACTAAGAGTTATTAATGGTAATTTTGCATAACTGGAAGTATGTTTCTTTAACATAAAATCAAATGAGAAATGTAATGTAGAAATATTTGGCTTTTATAATTCTATTCACGTACGAAAATGCATAATTACGGCAAAATTATTAGTAATATGCCGGGGAGGTCGAACGTGTGGGTTAAGTTAAGTTAGCTTAGAAAACTTGATTCGACGCTAGAATACTACATGAAACCGTCAGAGCTCGTTCTCATCTAACCAGATTTTTTTAAATGCAAAAAGATTAAATGACTCTCAGAATCAGCTGGTAGATGACCATCAAGAAGGTATACTAGATGCAGGTAGTTGACTTTAACTGCACCTAGTTCAAAGAGTCTGTAACTTGATCGTCCTCCATGAGTTGCCTTAGGGTAGGTTATAAAAGTTAGTTAGATAAGGTAGGTTAGAGTTAGAGTTAAGTTAGGCTAGGAATGCGTAAGAAATAACAAAAAATTAGCCGGTGGTAGACAAATTTGTTTTGAATAACCATTTTCGCGTCATCGATTTAGCATTACTAGGAAATGTGCATGGTTTGGGTTAGTTTAGGTAGGGTTAGGGACGAGTTGTTCGTTTCGGCTAAGTATGTAAGGTTATTGTTATGGAGATTGCCAATAAAGGCTTGTTTATTTATTTTTTAAGAAGTGCATACAAAAACAATTAATGAACCGGCAGGTTCAGAAATCAGAAATCTCCGGGTTTTTTTTTAATATGGATAGTTTTTGGACTGGATACATAAATTTGTTTTGCATGACTATTTTCGCGTAACCGATTTCGCGTTACTGGGAAATGCGCATGGGCTGGGTTAGTTTAGGTAGGGTTAGTTACGAGGTAAGTCAGGTTAGGTTATGTAGGGTTAAGTTTGGGGCGAAATTTTCACCAAGAAAGACTTGAACATCAGGAATGATAAAGAATACAATGCAACTGTGATATTTTTATATATTATACACTATACATTTAGTTGTTTTATTAGATTTGTATTGTTTTGGAATATATCTGGTCGATTTTGACGCAATTTTATGAATCGTGAAAGAACTTCGAGATACAATAAGTAAGGTGGACGAACTTCAATTCTATGTTAAGTATCTAACTACGACCCATCAGTTAATGCCAATTCTTCGTAAGCCCCTTGAAAAACTACCTGGTATGCAAATAGTTCCCATCTAATCCCATTTTAATATAACCCATATCCATTAATTTGAATTTAGGTGTCACCATTCCATTGTTCCAACACTGCCATCTTGTAGTTAACAACAGCCTGTTCTGTTTCCAACTAAGTTGCACCCGAGTTAATAATGTGTCATTTCATAACTAGAAGAACCAGAGTTCTACTGATGCGAAGATATTGGCACAATTAAACCAAAGATGTAGGAGCGATAGGGAAAAAAAGCCCAAAGGGCGAGTTGTCGGCTTTCTCTAAGTTCTGCCCTTTGATACGAATTAGTCGCAGTAGCCCCACGACCTGAAAGAGCAATATTACATATATTGTTTATCCGACGGAGCGTGAAAGCGACCAGTGTTTAATGCCGTAGGACGTCATGAGGGTTGCGTCCGTCTAATTGACGGTTTTACACACTTGTGAACACACTTCACGGTGAACACCCCTCCGCCCGAAGAAATTTTCCGGCTGCCCTTCCGAAAAATTGAACCGATGTTCCACCCCATGCTAGCTCGTGCATTCCTGTTCTAGTCATGGGGCAAGTGCATCTGCCGAATGGATTATTAAATTTTCCCCAATATGCTGCAGCCGGTGTATCGTGTACACCCCCCAAACGCAAATTGACTGCCTTTATAAAATCATGAAGTGAAATTGGTGAGAAACTACCTACGGACGAACTTCAGTCGATTTTTAATGACTTAATTAATTAGCTTAAGAATTATTCATTTTCAAACTATGTTAGCTTACTAGTGTCACCCCGGGTTTTCTTAAAAACTACTTAGCCCAGAAAACACTTGTAGATTTATACATTAAATTTAGTTAAAAATGGCGAAAACCATTCAAAAATCGGCCCAGAAAAACTAGTTAATTCAAAAATAACACGATGAACCAAATACTGAAAATAAAAACTTAGCCATTGTTTTTAAGCCAAAAATTAATTTTTATTTAGCTTTTGTCTTTGTTTTATACTACTTAAACCTTCTGGAATAAAGTTAAGTCAAGTTAAAAATCCTGCCTAATGCTTTATTGGTTTTTTCTTATTTTACTTTCATCGTTCTGTACAAGCTATCTCACTACTATTTACAACGCCTGATAAAAAAGATAGCGAGAACAGGCGATATTCATTTTGGTCCGCCTATCCTCGCTCTTTTTGTTTGTCAGACGCGTATCGGCATTTCGCAAACTTCGTTGTATGGATCGTGTGACAAGTGCTCATCGCCGCAGAGAGTGGCAGGATCCTAGAAGTTTGTGAAGGTAGTGTACACTGGCTGACAGTAATCCAGAAGACCCAAAATGCTGGGTATAAAAATCTTTGTCATCATTCATCGGAAATTCCTACCATAATTTGACAAACGCACCCCTCAAGGTGGTAAAACGGATAAATTTTCATTTTTATATATGTAGTGCAAATGAACACCGAAGACCAACATTTCATCATATTTATTATAAATTACATTTTTATGATGGATTGGACTTCAAAAGCAAAATCCCGATATTCAAGCCTTTATTGCTGAAAATTTCATCCCTACCCTAAATATAGACGACCTAACCATTCTTAAACCAACCTAACCAGACCCTATTCCTAGCACACTTAACCCAACCCAACCATTCGCCCTTCCCATCATATCGTCAATAATTTTCCCATAGTCGTTATAGAATGCGTGTTTATAAGTGAATTTTCAAATGGCTGCAGTTTAGAAAAATCAGAAAAAGAAGGAAAACACGGAGAGGGCTGACGATGACCTCAGCAGTTTGTCGGTCCATAAATTTCCCGCTTTACCCACACACAAATTTATACACAATACGCGCGAATTGCGTATACTTAACCGCAATCAGATATCCTTCGCCGTAGGTCTACGCAAATTTACTTCTGTTCAGCTTGAGCTTCCAAAATTCGTTTTTGTGCTTCACGTCTGAGATACTCAAGTTCTTCTGAATATGATTCTGTTACTGTTTAGAAAATTACCACCATAGGGTAAGTAACGTTTATTTATTTTTGAAGAAGCGCATGCATAAATAAAAAAATTAACTGGTAGGATGTACAAATTTGTTTTACATTTCGTCCCCATTATACCCTACCTTATCTAACCTAATTCGTCCATAATATGACCTAACCTTCCTTAACCTAAACTAAATAACACGAAATCGATTATGCAAAAGTGGTCACTAAAAAAAGTATATCCAGCCCAAAAACATATCGATGCATGTTATTGTATTTTGTAAAGTAGCATTTCAACTTAAAAGAACTACTTTATGAAACAAAAAGTCAAGACAACGGTCAAGCTACAGGTTCTTTGTAACAAGATGCAATCAGCTATCTGGATCTAGTCTACCTACTTGTTGAAATATATTTAGGGAAAAAAAATGAAAGGCGATAAGAATGTGGTTTACTCAAGATTTGTTATTGTATAATCAATCAGTTGACAAAGGATTAACGTAAGTTAGGTTAATGGAAATGATGAAGGTAGAGTGAGTATGTGTTTAACTTTTTTTAAAAGAACCCCTAGGGATTTAATTTAATGGCTGTGCAGCACACAGGATTCAGTTGGGCCCGTCTTGTTGAATCAAGAACAAACCGTAACATATGTAAAGCGTTCTTATTCTATTAATTTTAATTAAATTAACTGATACATTCTGGTTAGTTGGATAAAACAAAATAGAAAATACAAACCCAAAACCATCAAATGCCAATCCTCATTTTTAATAATGGATGTACTTAATAGTAAACATGAAGATTACTCATTTTTTAAACAAACACCTTTTCTCATCTTTTCTCCATTTTAGTCCAATTGTATTCTCTTTAACCATGGGAAAGCATCATCTGGAACCAAAAGTTTGCAATATTATTGTGACAATGAGTCATCGAGATCACCGGCAAGTGGATATGGCAGAGGCAGTTGGCGTTTCTCAGAGCACGGTCTCTTGGGCTTAAGCCCAATTCCAAGATACGGAAGTGCCAATAGGAGGCCTGGTAGTGGATCTCAGCACGTTATGAGGTGAAGGGAGTGCAGAAATATTGTCACTACTGAAAGACGGAATCTTTTTCATAGTGCCCGCCAGATCCTAAATGAAGTGCAAGTTGTTTTGGTAAGACTTCGATCGACACAAATGATTTATAATTGTTTGTGGGAAGTTGGCCTCACAACGTGTGCCCCTTTCAGACGACCTACAGCAACAGCCCTCCACCAGCAACTCAGGAGAATATGGTGCAGCGAGCACCCAGAAGAAAACCTTTTATGTTTACTGATGTGTCGCTTTTCTGTATGTATCTACTGAGAACAGGGGATGCGTACAATGCCCCAGTTCGTGCTCCATTCAGTGCAGGTTGGAGGATGCGGTGTAATGGTCTGGGCTGGAGGACGAACAAGACTCTATATTGTTGAAGGTCACTCACCGCAGTTTGTTAGGTCCAAGAAATTATCGAGGAATACATCCCTCAAACCAGGGATCACATTGGCAGGGATTTTCTATTTCTGGATGTTTGGAAACAACCTAATTGAAATAGACAAAACCCACAACTACACCTGCTAATAATGAAAAAGACATTACAGAAATTACAAACAGCTTTAACCTAGTTTTAATTGTTTGTAATTTCTGTAATATCTTTTTTGAGCTTTAAGCTTGAATTCCGAATAATTGAAAACAACAAACTGTGAGTACAAACTATCACGTTAGGTTAGATTGAATATTCATGTTTCTTTGATTTCATTTATTTCCTTTATTTTACTGATACATATTTAATAATTATATTACAAAAAATTGTATTAACTTATTATTAACGGGATGTATTTTTTTTATATGAACTCTATTATGTATTATTATGAGGCTTATACTGATCTGATAAGTAAGTTGAGTTTTTATATTGAATGATTTATTATATATTCATACTATCCATATACCACTGGCTTGGACCCCAAAAAAATATATAATTTTTTTTCATCATAATTATATAAAAAAGTTAGGGTTTAAAACAGTTTCACTGGAAAAACAATTTTCAACAGATTCTGATCTTATTTTTCTAATCATTTCGTCATCAAGAAAATCCAACATATCGAGAAAAAACAAACTGATATGAAGTACAACTGCATCCAATTTGGACAAGTGGGATAGAAATATGATACCCAATAAATACAGTCCTTCCGATATTCAACACTCCCTGTTTCCAACCTCAAAATATCCTTCATAGATAAACTAATCCACGACAGGTTGTCCAAGTTCAAGATAAATTCCAGAAACCAATTCAAATCAACATCCTTAACCCAGTCAGGCAGATATAACCCAGGGACCTCCTCCTCGATGCTAGTCCTTGATATGGTTGAATCTAAATCAACTCCACTTAACCAACATTGGAAATACAGCACAATTAAGATAATTACACATCAATTATTCAAAATCCAAATATTGTTAAATTTTTTCAGACAGTAATAAAGCACATGATGTCAGTTTTATTTATTTATTTTAATCCATGTAAAAAAGCCCAAATTTGTTGTTCACTTAATGACAAAAATAGTTTCCTGTTGTCATTCAAATTTGGCTTTCTTACATGGAGGTTCATCTAAAGAGTTCTCTGACATGTAACTGCACGCACTCTCCTCTTCGTAAGTAGCCTTTTCTCCCTGTGTAGATGCCGGCAAATAATACAAATCTACACCTTTGTAGTATTTGACAAGGTCACTTAATGAAGACGTGTCTAAAGTAGGAACGTTAGATTCTTCGTGTACTGCCGACTCAGTCTCCATAGGTTGCCACTTTGGAATTTGGCCCGGAGTTGGTGGGCAAAAGACACGATTAATAACCAACGGCTCATCACCAGGGATCCTGAAATGAACAGCAAAAATTAAAAATAAAATATAATAACTATAAATATAATAAATAAAATACTATTCAGTGGCTGAGGGAATATTGCGCTGAACCTGGCTGTACCACTTTGCATCAAGCTGTTTTTATGCATGGAGTAATTGATGATAAAAAATATAAAATAAGTGGGTTTCAATGATGAGGTCTTTTTAATCAGTAGGATATGAATTGGAACTTGTGTTGGCTTTATGTGCTCAGGTAGGTGTGAGGTCAGCTGACTACAGCAATGAGGAGATAATTTGGAGAGAAATTTAAGGTTTAAGTATTAGGTCAGTCACAGAAGGAATTTGGAAGTTTGAGTGGTTGGTAACCACTCAGAAGATTTTTCACTGGAGGTTTGATTTTTTTTAACTATTCAGTTCCAGTTTGTAAGTCCATATCACAGCCAGAAGGGCTGTGTAAAGTATTTTTTGTTATTGCCAAATTGTAAGTTAGATTGGTAATTACAATTTTTTAAAATTAATATTATTCTCTGAGCCTTGGTCGTCAAACACTAGAATAAATCTATCAAAATACAAAATGTGACACAACAGATGAGAAAAGTTGCTCATTGTGTCCTGCTTAAATGAAGCATTCCTTGGCACCGTGTAGAGAGTGTTCAGGCTTGCACCGATATGAGAATTGTCCTTAATTATTTGAGTCTCCTGTCCCCATTTTTGAAATGGACTGTTTTATTGCATAGTATTTTATAGATACCTTGTTTTGTTTATTTTTGTGGGTTTATATAGAAATTGAATGTATTTATTAGCTTGAATGTGTAGTGTGAGAGGATGGTGGAATATTAAGTACCCACCGACCCTCAATTCGATTAGTTATATTGTATGTATAAATGGTTACTCGAGCGAATGGTGTTTTCGACCAATACATTTGATTATAATTATTTATCACTGAGTGATATTGTTCATCACAATAGTAAAAATGAAACCCACACTTCTGGGGGAAAAAAAATTTAACAGTTTAAAAGATAATTTCAGGCTTTTTAGGTTCAACATCACATGGCACAAAAATGGCAATATAATCCTTCAATCAGTTCAGTACACTTTTACAAAGAATAAAGTAAAATAATAAACAAAGTAAACTGCTAAAAATAATAATTTAACATTTAATTTACTAATTGTCTATGGGTTAGATATGCAATATGTTGGGTTAGGTAAAGTTAGGTGGAGTTATGGGCCAATTGGGTTAGAAGAGCAGGGTTGGTAAAGTTAGGGATGAGTTAGGTTAGGTAGGTAGGGTTAGGGATAAGTGGGTTATTTAAGGTAGGGTTAGGGCTAGGGACAGGTCAGGTTACACATCCATGATTCAATATTTTTTTCGTGCATAGCTTTAAATAAAAAAATCTTAAACTTGTATTTATTCTGGTTGTGTAAACATGCACAGCTAAAACTGTTCCAAGATAATTTCTTACTGGAGAGGAATATTCTAGTACACTGCCCCATTTTTGGACACCTCAGAGATTTACATGACCTATCCATACGCGAGATATAATGATCATGGTGTTTGGATGACTTGTTTCATTTCCTTACAAACTTCAATCTAATAAATTTAAAAAACTAATAAATGAAGTTACAATGAAAAATAATAGTTTCAGTAGGAGTTTCAGCTTGTTGTTTGTTAATGGAGTGAGCGGCTGGTAGATCCACTTTATTAATTAAACTCATAAATTCATGAATAATTTAGATCTTGGTATGGTGGGTGAAAAAAACAAATTCAATTTTTTTTATTATTATTATTATTTACAGATAACACTGTCATGTACACAATTTTAACACAGTGACCCCAGGATAAGTTCCTTTTTTCATTCCTGCATTGGCAAAGCTGATCTCAACAATGCTAGGTATCTTCAGGGGAAAATTAGTAATTAAAAAATCCTGACATCTTATTCATAATTACGTTTTAATTAATTTCAGAATTTGAACCCTTTATAAAACACTTAATTTGTCAAATTGTAGACATATTTAAGATGGTTATCTCCTGATGATGACCTTAAAAAATATGCCGAAAGCTTGAAAGATAACAATTGAATTTGTTTTTTTCATCCAGACCATATCAATATCCATATTAGTTATGATTAAAATTGATTGATACATTTACACTCGCAGAAAATTCATAAGTCATTACAATCGAAGGCAAAATTTTTTATATTGTAAGTAGACGTTTATTTATGTCAACCATGTAAGTCATTAGAAATAGTTTCATTCACCTTATCTTTGGCATTTTACACAAAATTATATAAATACACAGCTGCAAGAAAAGAACAAAATTATGAATGCATGTAAAATCTCCAAACCTCACAAAATATTTATAGGAGCCAAAGGTGTAGGAATATGGCAAGTTGTTTTGCCTCGAACACTCAGATGATGTATTCGCTCTATCTACATATTTGGTTTGTTGTTACATTGCTTAAATCCAAACTGAAATGTATAAATCAATTCATTTAAGAAAGTGTTGATTTATACTAAATTTTTAATTATTTTATTGGGTTGTCCGGAAAATAATGCAGGATTTTGGTATTAAACAAAAAAAAAGAAACTAGTTACTTTAAAGCAATGTTCTTTAATCAAAATAATNGTCACAGGCGGGATTTGTCTTGATTTGTTTATAAGTTAGGTTTTTACTTGTGTTTTTTAAGTTAAGGAACTACATCTAGTTATGCTATTTATCCTGCACTCCAAGCATTCATTGAGGACAGTAATTTCATTTTAGCATTTGGCGACATTTGTTTGATTTCTGCGACAGATTTCATCATGTTTCATCATGTCTAGGACTTTTCTTTTTTAAGACTGTTTATGCTCTTGGTAAATTCTCATGAGGAGATATATTTGATCAGTAAGTCCGCTGAGATGATTTTGGACAATTCAATTAGTTCAATTCAAGATTTTAACTTTCAACTCATATTTAGCCATCATGAGCGATAGAAATTAAAATAAAGCATAATAATAATAAAAAAATAATAAAGCAATAAAATCAATGTTTGCATCTTAGAAAATTTTAAATATAACAAAAAATCATCATAAGACAGCCGAGACCCCCAAAAAGTATTCAGCATGTAAAAAGGTGACGCCCAAAATAATCAAGGAATGATCCAATATCTCAAAGACCTGGGAAAACCGAACAACTTTTGTAAGTGCAAAAGCACAAAAAAAATTCTGGGTAATAAAAAAGGAGACAAACTGACCGAAGGATCTGCAAGACCTCATCTATCACAATTCAGAATGCGTCCACATAGAACAAGCGGGCAAATTCCAGAGTGAAAATAAAATCATCATAGAAAATCTTAAACCGTCGAGAGCCCTAAAAGTATTCCGCATGTAAAAAGGTGACATCCAAAATAATCAAGGAATGATCCAATATCTCAAAGACCTGGGAAAACCGAACAACTTTTGTAAGTGCAAAAGCACAAAAAAAATTCTGGGTAATAAAAAAGGAGACAAACTGACCGAAGGATCTGCAAGACCTCATCTATCACAATTCAGAATGCGTCCACATAGAACAAGCGGGCAAATTCCAGAGTGAAAATAAAATCATCATAGAAAATCTTAAACCGTCGAGAGCCCTAAAAGTATTCCGCATGTAAAAAGGTGACATCCAAAATAATCAAGGAATGATCCAATATCTCAAAGACCTGGGAAAACCGAACAACTTTTGTAAGTGCAAAAGCACAAAAAAAATTCTGGGTAATAAAAAAGGAGACAAACTGACCGAAGGATCTGCAAGACCTCATCTATCACAATTCAGAATGCGTCCACATAGAACAAGCGGGCAAATTCCAGAGTGAAAATAAAATCATCATAGAAAATCTTAAACCGTCGAGAGCCCTAAAAGTATTCCGCATGTAAAAAGGTGACATCCAAAATAATCAAGGAATGATCCAATATCTCAAAGACCTGGGAAAACCGAACAACTTTTGTAAGTGCAAAAGCACAAAAAAAATTCTGGGTAATAAAAAAGGAGACAAACTGACCGAAGGATCTGCAAGACCTCATCTATCACAATTCAGAATGCGTCCACATAGAACAAGCGGGCAAATTCCAGAGTGAAAATAAAATCATCATAGAAAATCTTAAACCGTCGAGAGCCCTAAAAGTATTCCGCATGTAAAAAGATGACATCCAAAATACTCAAGGAATGATCCAATATCTCAAAGACCTGGGAAAACCGAACAACTTTTGTAAGTGCAAAAGCACAAAAAAAATTCTGGGTAATAAACCAGGAGAGAAACTGACTGAAGCATCTGCAAGGCTTCATCTATCGCAATTCTGCATGCGTCCTGAAAAAACAAGTCGACGAATTATAGAAGATGAATTTTCAACCTGAAACTAGAATCAATCCTTGCATCATGAAATTTAAAATCTTACAAAAAAATCATCATAAGACGCCAAGCATCCATAAAAGCATTAGGCTTGTAAAAATGTTGCATCCAAAATAATCAAGGAGTGCATCCAAATCTCCACAGTGATACAGTAAAACCATGATTAAAGAACCTTTACCAGAATTGGCAAAATCCTAATAAATGTCCTAATACTTCTGAGAAGAATGATCGAATCAATTGAACTGAACAAAAGTACTAGTAAAAGAAGAATAAGCCAGAAGGCTGTAGTGCTTGGGTAATTAACCCTTTCTTCCTAGTATTCCCTTATCATCATCATCATCAATAAATTTAGCCAGTAGATTTTTTTTTTAATTCAATGTAATTTTATCTGAGCCTGCACGCCTTGAGTTTGTTTTAATCAAATTAATCAGGACCTAAATATTTATTTATTGAATTTAATGAAAAATAGAAGATTGTTTATTTTCCTTAATTTTACAGGAATATGAACGTCTTTACCAAGATTCTATTGACGGGTATTTTATGTGTGAAATAATGACGGAATTAATTTAGTCGTCAAATCCGTTGATTGATCTTAGCAAAACTTCCAACTTGATCCTATGAAACTTTCAAGTGAAAAAATACATCAGAATAAACCATTAATTAAAACTACTAATAGTTAATTGGAAAATTTAACTAACCTTGAGTTTTTAGGTTCCATATCAGAGATATTGTCACATTCGCTTGTTAAATCGACAGCCATCTTCCGTTAATGGAGTCAGGAGAAGTTGAGGAATGAGGTTTATGATTTTTGACCGTTACGCTTTTTTTTAAGATCTATTTACCCAGTGCCGTTTATATTTTAAATACAAACACTGAAATTTATTTTAACAATAAACAATGTACAAAGTCAAACACCGAATTTCAATCGATAAAACTGTTCTGTGTAAAAATAAAATTAATTTATCTTGAATCATCAAAAAACTGTTAAAAAAACGTAAATTGGACGTGTATATACAAAGACAAATAATTATTTATCATACTAATTAGTTAATTTATTTATTATTGAATATCAGAGAAAATATATTTCCGTAAAGATATATTAATTTGAACTAATTATTTTACAAAAAAAAGTCTATTTTGGTTAACGTGTTTTGAAAACAAAACCCGATAGGGGTGCGACGTTAATATTGGTTTGCACGTGCTCAGTTTATGTATTATTCATTTTTCCCCTTATGAAAATTTTCGTCAATTTCCCCGAAAGATTTTCGTTTCTTTTAATCAAGCACAGAATTACTTAATCTTTATAATTATTTTCCAGACCCATTGATTACTTACACAGAGAGGCAAAAAAATGGCCACCCTTTATATTTTTAATTATCTCTTAGACAATCATCCATTGATTATCTTACAAAAATATTTGGTCCGTTTTAAAGGATTGGAGGAACAATAAATAAAATCATCCATTTGTTTTTACAATTGCGTTTTGTAAATAAATCTCAATCCCTTCTTTGTTGGTTTTTCGTAATGCTTCTTTCTAACATACCGGTTGCTTGATTTTTTTAAGTTGTTCCATTTTTTTTAAGTTTCAAATTTGTTTGAGTGATGGTTGTCAGCGATACAGTTTCGGCTGGAATCATAGCGTTGTTGGATGATGGAAGAAGTCAAGCGTATGTTGCCAGGGTGCTTAACATTCCCGGAACAACTGTCCAAAGGGTCTTCCATTGCAGATCACAAGAAAGCATGGAATAGGTGGTCATCGTGTCATATCTCAAACAGATTATCATTTTATTGTTTCAAATGTACTCTGCAATCGACATTCTATCACTGTTGAGATCAAGCAACGACTTCAACAAGTCTGAAATGTTAATGTCAATTTAAGCACCTGTAAGGTGAAAACTTTCAGAAGTTGGATTACGTGTGAGAAGGCCTGCCACTGGTCCAGAACTCTGACAAGGAACAGACAGCTCGGTTAAGTTTTAGCAAGAAATCACATCATTTGGTCTGAGCAAGATTAGACAAAGATCTTGTTTTCGGATGAATCAAGGTTTTGTTTGAGGTCTTCTGACATCCAAGAGCCTTTTTTACTTTCTGTCTCTGAAATAAACTCAGCCAGTCTGTCAACTGACTTTCTTTCGTACCATTGTTTTAAGCTGGAGTCAGTTGGTGGGTGTTAGGCTGTTAGATCCTCACTGAAGATGGCACAAAGCTGAAATGCGTTTGAGTTGCATCAAAAACCCATGACTACATGTACTCTACTGTAGATTAAAAAAAAATGCACCCACTTTTTATTTATTATAAGTCAATTCACCTGATAGACATGCACTTTATTATTACAAATATGAGGGTGTTAAAAATAAAATTATTTAAAAAATTAACAAAAATTTTACACAAATACGGAATCTGTCTGGGTAAATGGTCAAGTTACAGAGTTTTGAAACAACAATGGGCTTAAAAGTAGATGTTTTGAAAAGAGTTATTTGCTCTCACCCCAAGCAGAGGGACACCAATGAGGCCGATAAATTGACCAAGAGAAGTTCGAAGACACCTATTGGCCCTGAACTGTTTTGTAGTTCAAACTGCCACAAAATGTGTATCCATTTTAATGGACTAAAAATAAGTCCTCTGTTCAATGGGAATGTAGTCCAAGACAGAGGCAGGTGAAAAGTTGTTCAACGGACCATTGCAAAACCTAGCAGAACCAGTAAACCTAGGGCATGTTAGGACTGGAAGGATAGAAGGATTCCAGACCCCGGAGGCATATGCAATGACTGGAAATAGCAGAAACAGGCATATACAGATATTGCTAGGAAGAAGAGACACCGCAACATGTCCTCTGTGAGTGCGAAGGCTTATGTAGGCCGAGATATTCCTTGGAAGGAAAAGTTTACACACAGGAGTCCTTGAAAAAGCTTTGGGTTCCGGTAAAAAGCCTTAAGCTTAATGAGTAACTCTAGACAACAATGATGAAGTACAATAGACAAATACTGGTCGAGGTGCGCAGGTTGTAAAGAGACTGAGTCTATTTCTAATCTAATCTGATCTCACCTTATCTTTTTTCTCAATGATTCTCCATGGTTCAACATACTTACATTTTTTTAACACTGGCACCCCAGGGTTTAATATGAATTGCGAACCCCTGTAAAAAAATTTGAAGATTGAACAAGAATCCTATACAAAACTTATATTACTTAGGAATTCTTCTTTTAAGAATTTTCTTTCTATGGGCAATCAACAATGATTTTCAAAAGAAAGTTCATTTAGACAGATTTTCTCAAGTTATTCCTTGAAAAGTATCTCCAATCACACATTAAGGGCTAGATTAGATGTGTAATGTATTTGGTTAAGTTAATAAGAGTTAAGGGTGAGTGTTAGGTTAGGTAAAGTTAGGAAGGATAGGGGTGGGAAGTTAAATGTAGCAACCACTTTATTGCTCACAAATAATCTCTATCATGGTGTGGTCTTAATAAAAAAAAAAACAAATTCAATTGTTTCTGCCAAACTTTCAACCTATTTTAAGGTCATTAGGGCAAAACATCTGAAATATGTTACAAAGTGACATAATTAAGTTTTTAATAGATGATTAAGTTAGGGGGTGATTAGGTTAGGTTAAGTTAGATAGGGTTAGGGACGAGTTAGGTTAGGTTGAGTTAGGGACGAGTTAAGTTAGGTTGAGTTAGGTAGGGTTAGGGACGAGTTAAGTTAGGTTGAGTTAGGTAGGGCTAGGGACGAGTTAAGTTAGGTTGAGTTATGCAGGGTTAGGGACGAGTTAAGTTAGGTTGAGTTAGGTAGGGTTAGGGACAAGTTAGGTTAGGTTCAGTTAGGTTAGGTTGAGTTAGGTAGGGTTGGGGACGAGTTAGGTTAGGTTGAGTTAGGTTAGGTAGAGCTAGGGACGAGTTAAGTTAGGTTAGGTTGAGTTAGGGACGAGTTAAGTTAGGTTGAGTTAGGGACGAGCTAAGTTAGGTTGAGTTAGGTAGGGTTAGGGACGAGTTAGGTTAGGTTGAGTTAGGTAGGGTTAGGGACCTAAGTCTTTCAGACAAGGCAGTGAGTTGAACGACAAGTGTCAAGGAACCAATTTGGAACCGGCCAAACCCCTTCACACGCAGACAACTCGTCCGCCCAGGTCGGTGGCCATAACTCAGCATTAATTTTTCACACCAGTCAGCTTGAGTTTTTCAAGTAGAAATTTATACTAGTTTCGTTATATGGGGCATTTAATATGTGGACTGAACTTAGAGGGATATGGTACGGCAGTTGTGTGAAAGCGTCATTTTTTACAATTTTATAACAGATGAACCACACTTTTCTTTGACCTTTTTTTTGCTTCTTTTCTTGCAGAAGGTAAGTGCCCCGCTTCCTTGGGTAATACATCGCGCTTTGTTTGACTACAAGTTTCCTAAAATAAGTGTTCACAAGGCAGTCAACTAGTTCAGCGTCAACCAGACAAATTAGTTGAATCAACTGAACCACCTCGTCTGAAACTAGCCTAAACATGGAGTTTAAAAGTAAATTCATCGGCTAAAAACTTAAAAAATTAAAACAAGGGCATAAGTACAAAACTGCATTTTCAAAACGTGCATATTTTCTTTACTTCTCAGAATTAAATTAAAAAGTATACAATATAAGTAAAGTTCGTGTAGCTGTTCCAAAGCTATCACAATACATCATTAATATAAAATTTTAAACATAAAATAAACACAATGTTCAATAATTAATTAACAGCTTATAATAAGATTTGTATTGATCTATTAGAAATTTAATGTTTTCTATGACTCAGGTGCAGAAAAAAGTTTAGGGAAATTTTGTAACATGAATAATTTACCTCTCTCATTTTAAAGTCAGTATAAAAATACATCAAACTTTACTATCTGAGAATATCACAAATAGAAACAACGAAGCATGAGAAATGCAAAACAATATAACAGTAATTTATTTAATAATAATTACCCTAATTTAATAACAAAATGTTGAACTGAATTATGGGGAAAAACTACATGATTTTGCTACTGGTCGAAGATAAAGGTAATAATTGTATCAATTAATTAGAAGCCTTCCAACATTTAATAAGAATATACACATGTGTTCTCACAATTCCCGTTACGTGCTTTGCTCTTTTCCTCACCTCAAAAGTCAAGCAATTGAGATGATAAATGAAAATTTTTAAAAATTATTTTTACTAATTGGAATATCCCAACAAGATCTTACAAATATATATTTAAATACATAATAGCATTGGTTTAAAAACAAATAACTAATCGTTTTCGTACAAATCCATTTGTTTATTATGATCTAGTTGGAAATTCATACAGATTTATGTTAGACATTAAACGTTTATAATTACAGCATAAGAACCTATAGAACTAATTTCAATTTTCAGATTTAAAAAAAAAAAGGAAACAATATTCCAATAGTATTCGTTAATTTGTATTGTTTCAACAACTATTTCACTTTGTTTGTTGTCGTTGTTGTTTTGCAACTCCTTGAATAAATTAAATTTTTTTAAAGCGTTGGAATTATTCCTGTTTAAGTTTATTACTTGTACCAACAAAGTCTAATTCAACATTCGTCAACGCCCACTGGTGTTCATAAATTTCCAACGTTTCCCATTCGGACTTAAATGCCGCCTTTGGATCTTGCGGAAGGGCCATGGCTGCCCCTGACATCTGGTCTTGAAAATGTCGTGACTGATCGGCAGCTGTAACAATTACATGTACAAATGAATGTCATAAATTATGTTAAAAAAAAAAAAAAATAGAAAAGTACCATTGTTTTCTCCTAAAACTAATGTATATATGCTCCTGAGCCCGAATACGTTCAAAAAATACCAGGATGCTGATGACACCCATGAAGCATCTAAAGAGGCCAGCTCGATTCCCCGTTGTAACATGGGTTTAAATCTAAGGGTCAGTGGAAATGGAACTTTTGCTGTAACAAATGAATAATACATCAAAAAACAATATTATTTAATCTAGGCTATGTCTTTTTCAGCAGCAAAATATGAATTGGTCACGAGACTGAAGTGATAATTTTGAGTGGAATTGAATCAGGATTTTGTCTAGGTCAATAAAACAAGACATTTTTAAGTCTGAGTAGTATTTATACTGACAAAGAAATCTAAAAAAATATGATCGTGGGATGATTTTTCACTGGAGGTTTGATTTTTTATCAGTCAAGTCCATATCAGAGCCAGACAAGCCTGTACCTGTATTTGTGCAATTTAAACATTAATTTATAATATAGTAAAAAATTAAACAAAAATTACTATTATTCTTTAAGCAGTGGTCATCTGAAACTACAAGAAATCAATCAAAAGACAAAATGTAGCACAAAAAAGTAGATTAAGATTGCCTGATGTGTCATGTTTTGACTGCCAAAACCCAAAGTGTCATATGGTCAATTCTATTACATGTATGTGAATAGAGTTGTGATCATATACATAAATTAATGTTTTATTAATTTATTTTTAAAATTTTCATCTTTTTATCTTCTTGCTTCCTCGCTTTTGACCAATACATTTGATTATAAATATATATTACTGAGTGATATAATTCACCAGTAGTAGAGAAAATAAATCCCACACTTTTGAGAAAAAAAAAACAATTTTTTTATTCAGTTTAAAGTTAAGTTCAGTTTTTTAGGTCCAACATTATTTAGCAATGTAGTCAATCAATCAGTTCTGAACACTTTTACAAAAAGTAATACAATAAAAAAGTCAAACTTTGTTATAAACAATAATTTAACATGGATATGTTTTTGGGCTAGATATGCAATGTGGTGGGTTAGGTTAGATTCAGTAAGATTAGGTTAGATTAAGTTAGGTAGGGTGCCCAATAATATTCTGGCTATAATGGTCAAGGTTTTGGATGAGTTGTTTCGTTTCCACTTTTACAAAAAAATTATAGAATAAACAAAGAACAAATAAACTTTGGTATAAACAATATGTGGTATAAACATGGATGAGTTTCCGGGCTATATATGCAATGTGTTGGGTTAGTTTAGGTTAGGCTGGGTAGGGTTAGGGGTGAGTTAGTTTATGTTAAGTTAGGTAGGGCTTAGGGACAGGCCAGGTTGCATATCCGTGATACATATTCGGGCAAACTGTTATAAAACAATACAAATGTGTGAAACTTGTATTAATGCTGGGTGTGGAAAATCTGTACGTGTGTCACATTTCAATTCATTTCGAAGTGACGATGTTATGATTTAGATTTCATGATTAGGCCTAGAGTAAAAAAATAAAAGAGGATAGGGAAGGGACAGTTGAGCAGAGGTGAACAAGCCCATTCTAGGTAGATGATAGACAAGAGACGTGTGCGATCCTCAAAAGTGTTGTATTCCCTAAAATAGTGCTTCAGTCCACTGCAGATTGACGGTAAATAGTGAGTACATATCCACCCTTGTTCTAAATGGTCTGGCATACGCTTTGCAGGAAATTACTGTTTTGTTTAAATTTAAAAAAGTTGTAATTGTTTGTTTAAAATTTAAAAGGAAATTTATTGATTTTAATTATTATTTTCTTGTGTGTTTAATAAATTGTTTTTAAACTTTAATTAAATTTTATTATAAAAAGGCATCTGAACGGCTGTATTCAGGTTCGATCAAGACCTCTGGGACTCTGTTTCTCACAAAAAAGGATTCAGAGTTGGGCCCGTCTTGTGGAATCGAGAACAGATCGTGACAAGTGCACGGCAATGTCAAAAATGTTCCAACACTATTTGAATATCCTTTTTTCAAAAAGATAGTTCCTACTCACAGTAAGTTGTGAATTAAGCTTTAGAAATATAACGAAATTATGTAAGAAACAAAGTTAATATATGACCAATATAAAGCTAATAATTTATTATTTAATACAGACTTGTTACAAAACCGGAGAACATCCAATTAATCCAACCTCCAATTACAATCATTGGTAAGACATTTGTGATATTCCCTTTCAACATATCTGTCATTACACTAGGATCCGTCATTGGATTCTGTGCAGCTGAACTTCTCTTTTGAGTCTTAAAATAACCTGCAAATAAAATAAAAAATCATTAATGGGCTTCACATCGTTCAGTCTGTTTTACCAAATAATTGATTAAAACAAAAACGAGTAACAAACATTTAAATATTTCTATACCCAATAAGAAAGATTATTGAGGATTCAAAGTACAAAGATCATAAGTAATATATTTCCCAGTAATTAAAACAAACTAACAAAATTTGAAAATGGAAATTCAGTACATTCATTTGAATGAAGTTAAACATTATACAATTGTAACAATTAAAATGTTAATCTTTAAATTAAACCTTTAACTCTTTCAGCCCATTCAAAATCTGTAAATTCATCCGTCAAAATTCAAAAAAGTGGCTCAATTCTTTTAAAAATAGACTCTGAAAAAGACTATCCAAAATATCAAATCTTACAAAACCATCCCAGTATCATTTAAACCATATCCCTCCCTTAACTATTCCAAAGGCATAATCTTTGCCCCCAAATTAAAAAACTGTCCAAAAGAACTTAAAACCGAACTCCTTCCACATGGAGTTGTAGATGTTGAAGAATTTTGAAACATCAAAATGGAAAGAAACTTCCAACTTCTCTACTCTTACTCACAATTCAAAAACCTGAACTTCCCCAAAAAAATATACCTTTTGTTAAAACACAAATTAGGTCTCTCTGGAAAAAGTTTTGGTCATCCATAAACAATACCCCCCCCCCGTTTGGGGGTGGCAGTTGGTCCACCTGCATCTGGTGGCCTCCTTCTTTTCCTGTTCACTCAACTATACCAGGGCTTAAATAGTCTCTAAGCCACTAAGGTTGGCAGCCGGCAAAAAAAAAATATTTAAAAAAAAATATATATATAATGTATGTGTATATATAGAGAGAACTTCTAAATCTACAAACAGTTATACAAAAGTTTTTTTGGGGACTGTAACAGCAGAGTCATATTGATCCCGGCTGCCAGTATTTTTGAAAAAAAAAAAAAAAAGCCCATTTGTAGGTAGTCTGGGTTTGAATTCAGGGCTGCTGAAATTCGTACCTTACAGTGATGTCAATGTCTTAACTATTGCAGCCACCCCCATATACAAGCCTTGTTGATTTTTAACTTACACTACTGACAGTTAACAGCTAATTTATCTCTAATAAATTGTGAAAAATTAACTTTAATTACCGGTATCCTCATTGTTGAAATAGTGGCGTCTCATTTGAAACGAAGATTTTGTTAGATAACAGCCATTTTCCCTGAGATTCCTGGCTCTTATCAAAACTTGGCTGAAATAGAAGATGATCATTATAAATATACCATTTTATTAGAAACATTAAAATATGTTACAAAAAATGTGAAAACTATGTAAGTCTAATTCCACGATTAAAGTAGATATACAGCTTTAGACCTACGATCAGATTTCAATTAGAAATTCTTTATTAAAATACAATATTTTTGCAATATAATTGTTAGAAATAAGTAAATTAGAGGACTGTGACTGTCCGTGTGATCAGGGCATATGACATATCTTTGCAAAGCTAGCAGTTGTAGGTTCGAATCCCGGTTTAGCCCATGGAAGTGTAAAACAATTGGGTTAGGGTTTATCCCTTATAAAACAACCCTGTTTCTTTCACAAGAAAAAGAAAAATAGATCACACAAGACAAATCTCATACTATTATAAGAGAAATGAAAAGCAAAGCAAAATATCTAGGCATCACACTAAACAAAACACTGGTGTTGAAGGAACATTGGCACCACTATTAAGAAGGCAACACGAGCATTAATGGTGTGCAGAAGGATAGCAGGAAAAAACTAGGAATGTAGATCAGAAATTTTGCCCTGGATTTGCATCATGGCGTATTTTTCCTCAGATAACAAAACAGAAAGAACTTACAAAAATACAGGAACTCGCATGTGTTTGCCTAACTGGAGAGATGAGAACATGTCCCACAGCTGGTATGGAGAAGATATCGGGACTAATCCCCCTCCATCATATGATTATGAGGACAGCACAGAAAAACCATTATTCAAATTATTAAAGAGAAACCTCCTATAGGGCTAAAACTTAAATGGAGAGATAGTAACAGCTTAATAAAGGTACAATAGGACTGTTCATGAAGGAAGGAATAAAAGTTGAACACTGAGGAACTTGGTTGCATGGAGAAGTGAGGCAGGCAATGTGCACGTGAGTAATACAATCTTATGGAAAATGTGGCATCGGATTGGCATTTGGTCACGTCACGTTGTGTTATCTGTGTAAGTTAACTGTATTTGACAACTCCCGAGTTTGCTCCCCTCTTCTGTTTTTTCTAGACCCATTCTGACATGGAGTATTCTGTTTTTGCCACTTGTCCTTGTTATCCTGAGTATAGGTAGGTTCTGGGCCTATATCTTATCCTCCTCTAGCCAGTTTGTCTGATTTTTTATTACCCAGATCTCCTTTGTGCCCTGACATTGGTGGTAATTGTCACGATGTGTTTCCCCAAGTTTGGGAGATTTTGGACGCATTCACTGATTATTTTAGACGTGACCTTATTAGGTCATGCTTTTGGCTTGGTTGTCTGATTTTTTCTCATTGTAACCTGTCATCCAGGTAGTGATACAGCTCTATTCTGGTCAAAACTATCTGAAATAACACCCACATGCCATTGGTCAACTATATCAGGTTAATCAAGGTAAAAGGTTATTACCGTTAACTTTGATCCACTGAAACATGGTTTGACATATCGGAGATGGGATTGAACAGAGTAGGTTGTAAGGAGAGGACCAACAGAATAGAGGAATGAACTTAAACCCTGGGAGAAACCTGCAATGATGGGTTAAGGAGATTATATGGACTGGAAAGGATGCCAATTTCAGCAATAACCCTTGTTACCAGCTGGTTTATGAAGTTTACTATCCATATCTTAAAAAAATAAGGGCGAATAATAAGAATAAGACCTAGGGAAAAGAATAGCCAACAACAGTCAATGTCCTTCTTTTTAATAGAAGGATTGAGTCAGTTGAACTAAACTAAGGAACTACCAAAGCCTCTTCCTAACATCATCATCATCAAGGTAGTGCTTCTATACAGCTCTACAATGGTCACTGGCATCTGATAAAACACCTATACAACATGCAATGAGAAGGAAGAAATTGCCACTCTTATTATTTTCAAATACAAAGCAACCACTCAATGGAGCATAACCTAGAATATCAAGAAGATCTAGGCAGCAATCAAAAACCCCAATTCCTAGTAAAATGACACCACTTTCTTAACTCTCCTGGAGATGAAGAAAAATTGCTAGTGATGTGCATTCAACACATGGCAAAATTGGTTTTCCTGTTACCAAACTCCATGTTTTTGACAGTGTACAGCATATCATGAAAGAATTACGAGAGAATCCATTCAAAGATGATCACCCTGGGGGTAAATGGTGTGATGTTTTTAATAAACGGGTCCCAGGCTTATCCTTCAGAACTCCTGAAAACCTCACTTCATCCCGAGCTTTTGTGACTCAGGAAGATTTGAGGGTAATCCTTTTTAAAAAAGATGGTTCCTATAATTAATAATCTCTATTGATTTGAGGGTATGGTATTCACACGTCTATTCGCATCTAGAAAAAAAAAATCTTCCATACCCTGGGTGATGCTAGTTGAGTACATAATGCAGATTAAAGTGCATTTTTTTAAACCAAAGGGAAACAATGTTTTTGCTGGGAAAGGGTAAAAGAATGTTTACCAACAAGTAAATCCAGATGAAAAGGAATGCCTGACAGGTTTGCTGTCAGCTAGTGCTGCGGGTTTTTCACCAACTTCCATTGTGTTCAAGTATAAGAGAATAACATCGGATATCGCTTTCAGCATCCCGGCAACATGGGGGATCGGGCGCTCAGAAAGTAGGTGGATGAATGGACCACTCTTTTTTGAATACTTGTTCAATGTTTTTCATCCTGGGCTCATCAAAAAACAAATTCCACTTCCAGTGATTCTTTACCTAGATGGACGCTCCTCTCACCATAAATTCCAGCAAGTTTTGTGATGATAACGGGATTATTTTAATTGCACTTTAATGCTACTCTCTTGCTTCAACCCTTCGTCTTGTTCGTCCATTTATGTTGCATATTTATCTCATTGCCCATTCCCTGTCGGCTTTAGAAACATTCGCGAACCGACAAAGTCATCTTCTGGAGCGATGAAACTAATCTCGAAATTTGCAATTATTTTTTCTTTACATAGTGGTTTCTTACATTTTAAGGGCTAGCTGGCTAGGAGGAAAATTGTGCTATAAAACGAAAACAAGAAAATTGCAATAACACCACTACTAAAGTTTAAACATATCAAAATTCCGTGAAATTAACTTCAGTATGTCAGCTACATGGTGCGTTTACCCTAAGCCAAAGAGCTGCTTAATTGGCACTAGTAAGTTCTCTCCAGCAGTACCTTCCTCTAAACTAATTCAATTGTAAGTGTATTCAAAATTTTGACTTTGAACTCATGTTAAGCCTTGCAAAATACTTGATAATCGTGGTTGTGCCTACCTGTCCTGAACTTGCTGAATTTCCGCCTTTTTAGTGGAAGTCGTCAGAACTGATATGTAGTGGCGAACGATGCCGACGAGGAACGTGATGACAACGATCGGAAGGAAGACGCATCCGCGGATGTTCACGTCCAGGAGGAGCTCGGCCATTTTAATTCAAGTCGAACGGGTACTCGGTAGTCGTACACTTCCAAACTAAGTACCTATCATTTGGAAAGTGCCAAAATTTAAATGAATCAAAAAAATGACCTGCAACTCGGTAACAGTGAGGGAGGTTATATCGTTCTCGAATTAAAACAGCTGGGGCACCTGTGTGATAACAGTGCCATTGCCTTCCCCAAAAATCGAGTTTTGCCCGGGTATAAAAAGAAATTCAAATTTGAATAAACCAGAAAACACTTTTCTTCTCATTTTTGAGCTGTTCAATCAATTTTGACATTGTGCGTTATTATAAAAACCTAGCCTTTTTCCTGATAAAAATAATCCTCTCCACACAGTGTCAACACATTTTTTTTTAATTTTTAAAGGATAATTACAACTACCCACTTGTAGGGATAAAAACAAAGCAAAATATAAAAACTAGCGATGAAGCTACCCACAAGCACTCCAGTACGAAAAACCCCAAAAAAATGGCCAAGAAAAGTTCACAGCATATCAAATCACCAAAAACTTTCAATCCATTAGAAAACGAATTAATGAGTCCTGGGCTTTAATGGGATTGTATTCTAAGACAGAGGCGAAAAATTGCATTGAAGTACCATAGCACAAACTAAGGTAGAACTACCAAGCCTAGAACGTGTTAGGACTGGAATAACAGTAGGACTGCAAACATAGTGGCCTCCACAACGTCATTGTCCACAACGACCTCAATAATCCTTTTGTCAACGAACCGAATCCGATCTTTCTTCCAAAAGTACCCCACCAAGATTTTGATGCATCCTAATCCTACTGCCCAAATCTAAACTGACCCTTAAATCTCGGGAGCAAGAATTGGCTGGTTTCTCTTGACCCCTGCCTAGTAGTAGTACAATAGTACTGCAATTTTTCGATAGTGACCATCCTAATTTTGTGGAACTCCATAATAAGTTGATGGGCAGGAAATAAATAGCCTTTGTCACAATAGGGCGCGTTTCGGTTTAATATGAACCATCTTCAGTGACTAAATTACAAAAGTAGTACAAATTATACACTAATTATATACAGGTAATTTCAAAATTAAATTTGATACTTTTTTGAAGTTGTGCTGATAACGCAAAGGTCGCAGTTGACAGGTTTGATCCCGTCAAGGGCGACTAACTTTTATCACCTGGCTGTGGCTGTTAGGCTGATGCCAAAAAAAAAATGAGGAGCGGTCAAGAATGAGGCAGTTTGGTGTAATTTACCCAGGCCCTGAAGATGACCCTAATAAAGGTCGAAACGTCGGCAAAAAAATGAAAAAGTGCTTTCTAAACTGCCTCATTCTTGACCGTTCCTCACTTTTTTTTGGCATCAGCCTAACAGCCACAGCCAGATTATAAAAGAATTTGAGAAACATATTTTTGTATCTTATACCTTTGTTATTTGACAGGTATTCAATTTGCCAATCTATCTGCATCTGTAAATTGAATATAGCATGAAGATCTTTTCTGGGCACAAGCGCTTTTAGAGAATGCCCGTTGTGGTGGCATCTTCGGCAAGCCGATCTACGACATCATTATGTTTGAACCCTGTATGACCTTTGATCTAGGTGATTACTATTTTATACCCTTTAGACCTGATCATTTCTGTAAGTTCAAGGATTTCTATAATGATGTAGTCTGCTATATAGAACTTTTTGTCATTGCGAAAGTTTTGCACACAACAAAGCCAATCTGTACATATGACCACTTTCGGGAATTGCTTGTTGTTCGCATACTCATAGCTTCCCTTATAGCAACCAATTGTGCAGTATATATAGATAAATATTGTAGGAGTGAAAACTTACTGTAGTTTAGTACAAGATCATAAAATGCACAACTAGTCCATTTAGGAGAGATCCGTCGGTGTAAGTAAGATGTCCGTCTGGAAATCTGGCATAATGATCACTTAGATATTTTTGGGTGACTTTTATTCAAGTCGGTGTATGTAGGTATATAATATTGTCGAATACTTTCAAAGTTTGTGTTAAAATAAGATGATTCGTGTTTGGCTAGATTGGTGAAAGCGTATGTGAAAGGTGATTCTTTCTTTTTTTGTCCAGTATTTTTACGTCAGTACTTTACACGTCAAGAGGGCAATGCTGTAGTACAGTTGTGTCTCGCCATAAGTGACAGTACAAAATGACCTGTTAACACTTTTCTTCTATGGTCAAGCGGAGGTGCGTTTGCCTAAACTAGAAAAATGTCAATTGGTGTTTATCGGAGTGCTCCAACGCTCACTCTTAGGCATTTGTACTGTATCTTATCTAATTTTTGCAAAATAGTTTTGCCTGCTTGACCATAGTACTGTGCTCCAAAGTCAAAATTTGAATGTGCATGGTATTGAGCGCCCCCCCCCCTATTGAAAATTATTGGTAATCTTTAATTTTTTTTTCTTATAAAAATTATGCCAAGGTAGAAAATTTAGAAAATATTTAAAAGCCAAAAAATATGTAATGGTAAAAATGGTTAATAGATTGTTTTAATAAGTGATTTAGGTTGATTTTGTTCGTGTAACTGACATTGGACATTGGACAACACTGTCCGTTTACAATAGCTCGTACGGTTAACCCAGAAATTTGCGATCGCGTATTATTAAATGCGCTTCTCCTAGGGTCGAAAACGGCCGATTGATGTTCGAGCACGACTCGTTTCGGTTTTGCCCTCGGGAATATTTTTGTTTCTAAGAAAAAATATTCTAAGGAAAATCCGATCCGCCCTCGAACCGTGTTCGAATTAAAAGCAATCCCAACTCTCCGGGGATCAATCAACGCCTGTACGTTTAAAAACCATCCTCGGTGAGTACAAAGGTCAATTATTATTCAAAAAACCCTTTTCTCATAGATTGACATGAAAATTTCATCATCCTCGGCTTGCACGATGTTTTTCAGCCGAGGCTTTCGTTTTTATCGATCTTCTCATTTTGGCTCGTTTCACCCTGCACAAAGTCCCAGTTTTCCTTTTTGAAATCCTATTCTCACTTCTGCTCGTTTTTCGGTTCATTTTCGATTTATTCTCCCCCACTTTACACGCTTGAGTTTAGTGTAAATTGACCCGACCTTTCTTTTAAATTTCGGCCCCATTTTAAATCAGAAAACTTCCGTGCTGGTTTTTGAAAGAAAAAAATCCGAAAACTGTGCTGGAGATGGGAAAATTGAGAACGAGACCGACTCAGCTTTGGACCTGAACTTTTATTTTAAAATGGCCTTGTCAGAAATAAAGTCCACCTCCTATCCAACAATCCTTTATAATCTGTTCAAAGAATCGTTACTTTACTGTCACGATTCTCTCTTGAATAAAATATTTCAAAAATCGGTTCTTTTGGAAAGATATCTGGGGACAAATCGGTTAAAAAGCGGTGACATTGAGTGGTTTATTTCATATCAAGATCTTTAAGCTAATTGAAAATTTGAAGAACCGCTAGGTAATATACTGACATTTTTCCATTATTTAAAAATCAGAATGGACAGATCTACATTGTATAAAGGTCTCATATTCTACTTGGAACGAGGCAATAGCTTAGTATATAAAATTACTTTTAAACGCAGTGATCAAGTGGTTTATTTCATAACACCTCTTATCAAACCAATGAATGAAAACTGATCAATTTGAAAAACCTAACAATCATCAAGACAGAGAACCTCAGGTTGTCATGTACCATCCGGACAAATCAGCTCCGATGACATTGATCCGTTTCTTAAATAACAGAAAGGACATAACCCATCCGAAGGCCTTATTCTATGTTAACATGACAAAAATGCCCTTGCTTAACTATTTTTCTACAAAACTACTTCTAACAACAGTGATTGTGATCGAGTGGTTTATATCATAACATCTCTTATCAAGCCAATGGATCAAAAGGGATAGATTTGAAGAACCACTAGTTAAAATAATCAACACTGACCCTAAGGTCGTCATGTTTCATCCAGACACCTCAGCTCCAATAATATTGATCCATTTCTTAAAAGTCAGAAAGGACGGAACTCCACTGTTTGAAGGACTCATATTCTACTTGGAACAAGGCAAAACCTTGCTTGCCTTTTTTGCTATAAAATTACTTCTAAAAGCAGTGATCGAGTGGTATATTTCATAACATCTCTTATCAAGCCAATGATTGAAAAGTGATCAGTTTGAAGAACATGGCAATGATCAAGACAGAGAACCTAAGGTCATCATGTTCCACTCATTTATTAAGTAAGAGAAAGGACAGAACTACACTGTTTGAAGGATTCATATTCTACTTGGAACAAGGCAAAACCTTGCTTGCCTTTTTTTGCTATAAAATTACTTCTAAAAGCAGTGATCGAGTGGTATATTTCATAACATCTCTTATCAAGACAGAGAACCTAAGGTCATCATGTTCCACTCATTTATTAAAAAGGACAGAACCACACTTACCTTACTTGTACAAGGTCAAATTTTTCTTAATGAACTGCTTCTAATTAAACAACTTATATTATTATATAGCTGCAAAGAAACATCCATCTAATTTAGGCCAAATAATTTTTTTTTACCATAGGCTTAATTAATCAGTATTTCAGTTATTCAGTTTTTGTACTATAACACCAAACTCAATTACATATGTATATATTATATATATATTTTATGGCCGAAAATATATGAAAAATCCTTTACTCCAGTTTATATGAATTTTCTAAGAACAACAAATCCCATCAAATTTACTAATTTTCTCATTAAAAGTGATCTTTCCTCCGTGATGAATTGTTATCTAGTCTATTATTTTTGTAGCCTTATCTAAAGGTGTTTATGAGTATGATTGGGACCGCAAGAATATAAATTTAGCTTTTAACGAGTTTTACAAAGCATTCGATTTTTTAAATTTTTTATTACCAGATAGTCCAAGGATAAATTCTCACACATTTTTCTAGACGGTTCTCTTTTCTTAAAAGTTTAACAATCTCATAACACGTTTTCCATCCATCTAGATCTACAACCAATTTAATCTTATTTCAGGATTATTATTATATAGTCCTTAGCTGCTCATGTACCAAAAGATCTGCACATCATTAATTATTTTGCAGTTGTATACCAAATATACCTATATACATTCAAAGACAATAAATAAATAAATAAACTAATAGTTACTTAAAACATATATCAAGTGAATTAATTGATTTTTTAAATGAAGAAACAATAAAGTTGAGTATGCCATGCTCCACAATCCACGATGGTCTACAGTGGTTTAGGTCCTCCGGAAGTCTCGATCAAAAAGAAGGTAGTGATCGACTACATTGTACAACATCTAGAGACGATCGTTTTATCATACCAACATTTAACGGCTTCCAGGAGAGGTAGTTAACTCCAAACAGTCTGTAATGTAAGGGTGAGTTTTAAAATAGTCATCAGAAGGCTTCATGAGCATAGCCTAAAAAGACATCCTGCATCAGGTTCTCAACTACTGAAGAGAAAGGCGATTATTCGCAAATCAGCATCTCGCTTTGACATTTAAACAATGGGGGAGGGGTCTCTTAATAGATGAGTGCCGGTTGTGCCAATCAGATGACTGGGACCCTGTGTGGAAAAGACATAGAAAACGCTTTGCTTCATGTGCCACTCGTGAGTCACAGTCTTTTAAAAGACAGCTAGTTAAGGTATGGGTTGGAATCAACATTCACGCCCGAATCAAACTGGTTATCACACAGAATGGATCTTTGACTGCACTAAGGTATATTGAGGGTTCTTCTGGAAGCTGTGGTCCCATTTGCTCCATTTATTAGGAACAGATTCATATTAATGCATGATAATAATGCTCAACCTCATGTAGCTCGAGTGGTCACCAATTACTTGTAGGATAGGAATGACCACAATGTTCTTTAGAACACTTATGGGATATGATAAAGAGATGGGTTAGACATGGTTTGATGCCTCCGAGCTTTGAACAGTTTCAAATCGTACTTGTTAAAGAATTCTGTTTTACAAGACACAAATTGTACTTGTTAAAGAATTCTGTTTTACAAGACAAAATCCAATCGCTTATTTACTCGATGCCTAGGAAACTTAAGGCCTTCCATGAGGCCAGAAGAGGATACATGTTGCTAAGAGCAAAACTAAGTAATAAATTGTTTGTTAAATTTTAATCTATCTCTAAATGATTTTCCAGTGTTTTGGTTAATTTTCTTTCATATGTCATGGTTAAATAATTTTGATTAAAACTTAAATTAAACTGAATTTCTGGTCTCTTTACATTAAAATAAATGTGTGGTGGTTAGTGACCGTTAATTGATAATTATTCAGAAATCGTGAGATGCGGTCTGGTCATGATTTCTGAATAATTAAAATAAATGTATTGTGAATAATATAGCTATAAGCTTGCTAGTAACCCAAAAATTACTAACAGACCCAATGCTGGTTCAGCATAAAAAATACATTTTTGTTTTTTGTATTTGAGTGTATTTCTGGCGAAAAAAATCCCAAGGTTCGATCTCAACCTTACACTTTACAAATAAAAATTATTTAATGGGATTTTCACATTGTGTTTGGTCCACACGTATAATTTTGTAATATTGCAAGAAAAAATGTCATTATCATCGTTTAAAGTTTCTTAGATTAGTATCAATCGGACAATGCCTGATTCCTTGATTTTCTCTTTCGAAAGCTAATATATCAAATCGGTTAGTAAGTGTAAAGATTTGTTTCTCAATGATGCATTTTTCAACCAATTTATGGACTCAAAAAGGCAGAAACAAGCCTGTGCAGATATTGCTAGTAAGAAAAAAAAAATATAGGAACATGTCCTGTTTGTGCAAAGACACCTAAGAGAAGAAATGCCAAGAACAAAGCCAAATGGACTTACTTTCAGAGTGCAATGAATTTATAAAACCTCTGGATTTTTAGCGTACACCACTAATTAGGAATTTCCTATTCTTACAGTTGTATAGTAAAAATTGAAAACCATTAAACTATTTTGTAATTGTTAACAATATTATTTGGAAAGAAGAAAAAAAAATGAAATCTTTAATTTTCAAATTTTGTTTCTGTCATTACAGATAATTTTACGCACAGAATTTATAGATTTGGTAAATGTCTGATAAATTCAAAAATGAATCTGGCACTACGAAACACAGTGCCAGACCAACCGATATACAAAGGACAATGGCGTAGCTGAATTTGTTTATTTAACTAAAGGTAAATCCTAATAAATATGAAAAGGTTCACTTAAAAAAATAATAAAATTAAAAAATTAAAAAAATTGGCTGACCACACGGATTGTTGTGAATTTGTCTATTTGAAATTGTTTCAAGGAGACTTTAGATAATAGTTTTATTTGAATTCCAATTATGCAAGATAACAATGTTGCGGATAAAGTTTAATTTCAATAACGTAGGTATGGCAATGTAATTTTGAATTTTTTGTCTGAAAATAAGGTATTTTTTATATTTTAATTCTACGATCGTGTATTAATGAGAGCTTAGGAAAGATTAAAATTTTGACCAAATATTCACAAGTACTAATTCGTTTCGTATGTCGATCGTGAATCTTTTGGTTTTTAAAGTTTGAGATGTAAATTTGATTAGGAAACTAGGCAGTTTTGGAATGTTATGTAATGTTGATTACATCATCTTACATTATGGAATTTTCGTTCAAAAAGAAATTTCCCGATGTAGAACTAAACACTCTTTATTACACATCATTATGACAGTTTGATCATAAAATTTTTCTACAGGTTTAAAAAAAAAAGTAAAGCATTAGTTCACAAACATCCATCTACATATGTACTTTTTTTACAATTTATTTATATTGCATGGGTACATTTGAATGGAATGGATTGCATTTTAACAATTAGTTTTTCTTTATACAACAAATTCAAAAGAACATAACCATGCTACTTTGGATCAATAATAATTTAAATATTACATAGAATTGTATAGAATGTTACTAAATTCCTGTATAACAGAATAATTTAATAATTAAAAATAAATAAGATTAATTTAATTGATTAATATACATTTATAAATATTATTTCTAATCAATATTTTATTTTTGTCATAGAATCTCGTGAGCTGTTCCTAAGATAATCATTTGTAAATTATCCATCTAGAAACTGGAGATATAATTCATGGAGGAGGAGTTTCAACGATTTAGAGAATGGACCGTTCTCTAGTAAGCCTACAGCTTTGGAAAACCTCTGTAAGTTAAATAATATTTAAGTTGTTGGTAATTTTTTCTATGTGAGATTGGAATGTGTCTTGACAACCAATCCAGGCTGGTGCCCTACAAGGGAGCATTTTTGGTCCCACCCTATATACCATTTATACTTTGTATAGTATAGATACATCCCAACACTATATACTTACGTGGACAACTTATAGGACCTAAATCAGACATGACAGTGAATAACCAACTGTACAAAACATTAATTCGACCTATTTGGACATATGGAGTGGAACTGTATCAAGCCATCTAACATCCAACGAAGTCAAGCATTCCAATCAAAAGTAATCAATCCCAATTCTAATCAAAATCAGAAAAATCATCCAAGCTTATTACTACGTCTCCAACCTTACTATCTACAACAACAGTAATTGAATCATTTCTGCTTAATTAAGTTTCACGTCAAACTTTGAACCGATCCTAAACCTACTTCTCAAGCCCTTTCTACTACCTCTCATCCCGAGAACCATCCGTGTCATCAAACAATGATGGCCCCGAGACCTCTCCCTTAATCCGATGACATATACAGAGAGTGGGAATGTTGGCTGGCTTCTTTTAACGTGTGTCTTCCAGGTGCTGTACTAGCCGTAGTGTTAGTGTTTTGCACAGGATTTTATAGCATTAGAAACAATACTATAAAATCAATGTAACAATGTAATGTGTGTAATTCATGTACAAGATACAAATAAATAGTGAAAACAAATTTTTTTGGTGGTTGTTGGATTTTTTGGTTGTTAGGATCCACTATGTTGAAGCAGGTGTAATGTAAGGCACCATCCTTGGTACAATTCTCTATTCAGTGTACACGTAGACAAATCTGAAAAACCAGACTACGTAGTGGTATTCAGGAACCTCCAGGACCATTCTTGTTTAAATGAACAGTTCAAGAAAGAAGGAGGATCAGACTCAACCTAAATAACCTTCACCCTTCTATTACAATTTTATTTCTCTTCCAGCAACCACCTATTTGGGACTTTTTTAAGGCTTGCTTTGATTCATATAGCCAGTGTCCCGTGTTGCCAGCAACACCACCCGCACAATTCACGTGAGCCGAAGCCACCCTTGAAAAGAGACCTAGAAGCAATATATATTTATGCTTTTTTAAACCTTTGGGAACTCCGTCTTCTCTTGCGAATGTGTTGGGAGGATGTGGACTTTTTGACAGTGCTGTAAAACGATGTAAGTAGTTCCACATCTTCAAAATTTGCCCTGAGTGCTCCACTCCTCTACCCGACGATCAGCTGGCCTCCCAAGCATCGAATTTTGTTTAAATAGTACCAATCTATTTAGGTACTCCGTTACCTTGCAATAAGGAGTCTATATACACCACCACTTCCTATGCCCACAAGGTCTCATAACTAAAAGGTTTAATCATTTCCCTCTGCTGGGGAATCCAGTTTAATAGGCTCTTCCTTTATGTCTTGTATTCAGGACAGATAAAGATAATGTGGAGCAATTAGGCGATGGCCTAAGACTAATTCGGTGGAAGTAAGATCCACAAATACTGTAATTTGTTCTTAAGCATGTTTGAGGCTGAAAAAATTGTTTGCTACCGTACTCTGTAGAAAACCATGGAACCATATTTATTTCCAAGAACATTGATTGATAGAACCTGCTGAACCACTGTTGTACCAAATGCCATGGTCTTTTACTCATTTATTATTCAAGTAACATTTTGTGTCAGGTTTTGGCAATTTGATGTCAATGAAATCCTAAAATGATAAGCCAAAGTTGAAAACAGATCTAATAGTAGAACTTTACATCGACAAAAGACTGTAACATACATATAATCTAAACTTTCACTACACTTCATCTCATCTACATCATTACCTCAACCAATCTGAATGGAATTGATCTGTTGGATTCAATCAAGCAATTCAACCTCCAAATAATCCGCTCTAGTCTAAAATCTTTCGAACCAACCAAGCTCCCTACTTTGTACCCAACTTATACAGACCTTCCAATTCCATTTGTCCTCAAACTACAATAAGTTGATACAGATGCCTCTAGAAAACACTTGAAACTCATCCCAACACCTTTTATCACAAATCATTCCCGACATCTTCTTAAGGTGCCTGTATGATGCCTGGTGTTTAATCGATGGAAACGTCCCTATTTACTGTTCTTAAGGAAGATTGTTCAATTTATTTTTTCTTTACTTACAGACATGCAGCTGAAGAAGCTGCACAACAAACTTCAACCTCATGCATGCATTTAAGAGTTATCTAGCTTTACATATAGACAATGGCTACGTCATTTGACCCTTATGACAAAAATAGGTGGGTATATTACTGTTTTATACATAAAAATATAATAATATGAAAGTAAATCATTACAAAAAGTATTTTCTTGGATTTGTTTACTTTTTGAAAAAATTGTTTTATTTAATTTTTTCAGCTGGTATTTTGGTTCTATGTCAAGGCAAGATGCAACGGAACTGCTCATGGGAGAAAAAGAAGGTGGTGTTTTTTTAGTTAGAGACAGCATTTCAATTGCAGGAGATTTCGTACTTTGTGTCAGGTTCGCAATTTTGTAAAATATTTTGTAGTGTGGTTGTCATTACTCTAATGATTTGCAACATTTGTTTGCCCATTGTCTGTGTATTTACATATTTTTGTGTGCTTTAGAGAAGACAGCAAAGTCAGCCACTATATAATTAATAAAATTCAGCAAAATGATCAAGTGAAATATAGAATAGGCGATCAAATGTTCAACGATTTGCCTGGTTTATTATCATTTTACAAATTACACTACTTAGATACGACTCCATTGATTCGTCCTGCCCCTAGGAGGGCTGAAAAGGTTATAGCGAAATATGATTTCAAAGGAAGCGTGAGTTTATTTTAGTTTTTCTTCAATTGTTGCTTACTTTAAATACTAATCTTCCATTGGTAATTTTAGGATCAAGATGATTTGCCATTTAGAAAAGGTGAAGTGTTGACCATTGTGTCAAAAGACGAAGAGCACTGGTGGACAGCGAAAAATTCCTTGGGTCATGTCGGGTCCATACCAGTGCCATATGTGCAAAAGGTATTTAGTTTTTATTTAAAGGTCCTAATTTTTTTCTTTTCTTTATGCGAATTAATATCGTTCCAGTATGATGGCCAAGAAGGAGCATCTGATTCTACAGTAAATTTAGTTGAAACACATTCTCCAAGCGGAAGCCATTCGGAACCAGTAAGAAGGCCGAATGTACAGGTAGCCATTTAAATATTTCCATAAAAAGTTCTGTTAGGTTTCAGGCATTTCTTTTATTAACCTAACTCATTTCTAACATAATCTAACTTGTCCTTAACCCTAACCCATACCTCTAACCTTTACATAACTTAAAATAACATCCCTAATCCTAATCCTTACCTAATATCCATAATCTTAACCCTTACCTAACCTAACCTAACACCCCTAATATTAACCCGAACACAAGTTGTCCCTAACTCTTAACTAACATAATCTAACTCGTCCCTAATCTGTACCTAACCTAATTAGTTCCTAACCTAACTCATCCCTAACCCTTACCTCACCTATTCTAACCCGTACATAACCTAACCTAACTCTTCCCTAACCCTTATCTAACATAACCTAACTTGTCTCCCTTTACCTAACCTAATTCATCCCCAACCATTATCTAATAACCTAACATCCCTAACCATAATCTCAACCCTTACCTAACCCAACTTGTCTCTAACCATAAACCACCCTAATTTTAACCCTAACCCTTCCCTTACTTAACCCAACTCGCCCCTAACCTAACCTTTAACACAACCAAACTTGTCCCTAATCCCTAACCTAGCCTATCTTGTCCCTAACCCTTATTCTCACCATACTTCTTCCTAATCCTACATATCTTACCATAACTTGTCCCTGGCCCTACATAATGTAACCATTTCTAAATTAATCTTGGTTTTGCTTTAAAAAAAATATCAAAGCATGGCTAATGTTCATCTGCTTCACATTTTCATGTTTCCTCTGCTTAACAAAAGAAAAAGTGGTAAAGTCGTATATTTTTTTAACCAAACTTAACTCATCCTTAATCATAACCTAACTTATTCCTAACCCTACATAACTTAACCTTTTCTAAGTTAACCTAGGCCAACCCAAGTGAACTCCTTGGTAATAAGAAAATGAACATACAAAAAATTTGTGTATCTAGCCCAAACATTTTTCCATGTTTAAAATAAGTTGTTTTATAAATGTATGAAGGGTTTCACTGTTGGTTTAATAAATATTCAATGTAAGCTCCTGAAGGAATGGGACTTCAGCTCCCTCTTTTCCTTTCATTTTGTTATAATTCGCTAATCTCATCACTTTGCTAGCCAATGGCATCTGGCCTTTATGTTAACATTGCTAATGTTCATGTGCTTTGAACTCCCATATTTTGTCCCCTTCACGAAAAATCTTGTAGATGTAACTTAACCCTTACCTTAACTTATCTGCAACCCTAACCCAATCTAACTCTTTCGTAACATTAATCACTACATAACTTAGCCCAACCCAAGCTTACTCCCCAGCCTAAAAACATATTCATGTTAAAATAAATTGAATGTTACAATGTTTTTTTTTTTAAATAAATATTCAGGGTAGGCTACTGTAGGATTACACTTTGTTTGGTGTAAATTAAAGAAAATTTCAATGGATTTGATACTAGTATTAACATTGTAACCACGATTTTACATTTTTGTTTTCAGAGGAAATTACCAGCGCTTGCTAAAGTGAAACAAGCACGGGTGCCTAATGCTTATGATAAAACTGCACTCAAACTTGAAGTGGGAGAAGTGATTACGGTAACAAAAATGAATATCAACGGCCAGTGGGAAGGAGAATTGAGAGGAAAAGTCGGCCACTTTCCTTTTACCCACGTCGAGTTTGTAGATGCTGAAATTTAAAACTTCTAGATCTAGTGATATAGTACAAACAACTGATTTTTCCATCTTTGAAGGAGATCACAACACATTCAACGAAAGCGGCGATGGACTGAGTAGTCAGTTGGTAAAAAAAGAAAAGCTGCACGGCTCATTGCACTATTTTCTGAAGCACGATGCACATTATATAATTATTTCACATGTTCTCAAGTTTTTTGTTGAAGTAATGTTAATACAATAAATGCTCATAAATATTTTTTTTTAATAACAAAAAACTTGTTTTAGAAAGAAGAGTAGTTTGAATCTCAAAATATTTGTTCGTGTTTAATTTTAAATCGGGTTGTGATCTCCTTTTTATTATATTTATATATCCAACCTAAATATTCACTGAATGTCCCGCTTAAAATTTGCAATAATTTTCTGATTGTTAGTTGTAAATTAAATGTTGTGGGGTGAAAATTTAATCTTTAAGGATTATCAATGAGGTTGTGATTTTTGAAAAAAAAAAAGAAGCGTATTTTTTTCTGTAAATAATTTTTTAAATATGCTTGCATATGTTTTTCTTATTTAGGTTATACAGAATTTGTACTTTTAAAAAACAATGTAAAATATTTGTTCATAAATTTTATTTCATTTTTTAGATTATAACGTAACTATAAATTATTAAATAAAAACATTTTCAGAAATACAAGTTTTCCCTTTTTTTTAATTCTCCTATTTCATGAAATTTAAATGTGTTAATAGACAAAAACTTGTGAATTTTTTTTCTATACAAAAAAAAATCCTACGTGATATGCGTGTGTGCTGAAGCACAGATCACTTCAAACATAAATATTTTGTATGTTTATGTGATTATATATTAATTGGAATGAAAGTATTTATTAGCTAGAATAGAGAGCTTCTGTTACCTGGGGCAGCATGAATTCTACCGTATTTTTAAATGTGTAAGGAGGTTGGAAGAGAAAACGACACTGTCATACAACTACAGTTAAGGACATATAAATGTTCAAATTAGCAAACAATATTTTATTTATACAAAATAACTGTAACAATATATAACAATTAGATAGTTAATTTTAGGAAGCTGACACAAGTTAGTTCATACCGTGCTTTTCTTGTGCTAAAAATATTATTTATACAAAAATACATTGTTAATTAATAACTAATCAGTTTTACCTAATTTAAGCTGAACTTCTTCTTTCTGTTTTAAAAGGTTTGCATGTTCTTTTTTTATTTCGTTTTGTTTTTGTAATGCATCGAAGTGTCTGCTTTGAATTTCCGTAAGTTTCCTTTTGTGACTATGCAATCTTTCTTCCGACAGTTTAGCATCTGACCTGATTTCAAAAACAATAAATAGGAGGTATAGGAGGAAAAATTTATATTTATTTACTTGTATTTTTCAAGCAAGCTCGGCAACCAGCTGTAATTGCCATCTTTCTCAGAGACCATCACCGTCTTTTTACTCTCCGGCCGGTCTTTCAACGAAGAACAGATTATTTTTAAATCCTACCGAAAAAAATATAAATTATTAGACACAACTTCAGTTGGCAATTTTCATACCAACTAAAGGGAAACTGTACGTGGGATTACTGATTTAAAAAACAATCTAAGATACTAGATTGAAAAATGGTGGGCACATATCTGAGCGTTCTTTTCTTCAGGGCCTAGGAGCTGAGAAAAATTTATGTAATTTACATTTTTAAATATGAAAATATACTTTTGCCCTGCATATATTTCAAATTTATTATATAAGTTGATTTGTGTTTTACCTAAGATAATAAAATAATAAGCAGTATTTTATTAAATAAGATTAAATATATCAAAAATTACAATTTTTTTTTTTTTTAAAGCAATAAAACAATTCGGATTCATTTTAAACACTGTTTAAAACTTAATTTTTGTTCTTTCTTTCTTTATTTTTAGTGTATTTCAACTATGAAGTTATACGATCATTTATCCTGTTCTAATATACACATTTTTCCATATGTGAAATTTATAAGGTCCTGTCAAGTTTCCTATAGAACCAATCATCAAAGTTATTGCAAGTTTTGAAACAAAAATCAAGGTTTTAAGTGAAAAATTTGAAAAACAAAATTCAGCTTTCAATTTTAACAAAATTTTTGTGCCAAGAGCTTTTTTGGAACAGAAAACAAATATAAACTTCTTTTTTTTTAAATCTACTTTACTACATTCCTTGGTTTCTAATTTGCTGCCAGCATGTTGATTCCTTTCAAAGAGGGTTAAATTGTTTTTACAAAGCAACAAAAAGTTAATTTCATTACTTGCACTCCTAAAAACCCCTGAATACAAAATTTTGTTAAAATCAATAATTAATTGTTTCTCTCAAATTTTTCACCTACCAGGCTCAGTTTAGTGACTGGGAGTTTTGTGGCCCTGAAATGGGCCGGTGTTGTTTCGTAGTGTCGAGACGATGAATTGAGGCTGAGACCGTGTGCATGGTGCCATTGGTGGTGGTCTGTGACTGAGTAATCCGTTGGATGAAGTCCATGGGCCGTGAACTGGTTGACTCCAGAGAGGCCGAAGGTACTCGAATGCAGCAATTAGCCGAGAGCAGCAGTTGGCGTTTGTAGCCAGGTCGGCTGTGTTTAGAAGGCGAGAATCAGGCTAATGGTGCGAGTACTCTTGCTGTCATCGATGGTGTTCCGTTAGTGATGAGTGAGACCTCATTGTGTCAACGAGTCTGTTGCCATTGTTGATTAGTGATGGGCGAGATCTCGTCAGGTTGATGAGTGTTTCAGTGGGGCAGTGCCTCTGCTTATTCGGTAGGGCTCTTCTCTAATTGGCTGCATTTTTTTGCATGCAATTTTTTAAGTGAAACGCTGTATGGTGTGTACACCAGTGAGAAAAAAATTGCCCTTGTCAAACCCAACACACAAAAAAAAATTTTTTCCCCCCTGTTTGCTATAAAAATTAACTAATTATTCAGAAATCGTGAGATGCGGTCTGGTGTGATGTAGGTTTCAGAAAAACATTTTCTTTATCGTGCCAACGTTTCGATCTTTATTGAGATCATCTTCAGGGCTCAAAGTGTTTGTCTTCTGTGTAATTGTGCCATTCTTGCGTGTCGTGTTGAGAGTGCCCAACGTTGTCAAATGTTAGCACGATAAAGAAAATGTTTTTCTGAAACCTACATCACACCAGACCGCATCTCACGATTTCTGAATAATTATCGATTAACAGTCACTAATCACCACACATAAAAATTAACATTTAAGGGCTTAAAGTGTGCTTAAATTGAACCCAAATTGTTTTATTCTAAAGCCATTTTTTTGCCTACTTCACTAGAAGTGACTTTCGTTGTAACTTTTTATGGAACTAATATATACGAAAAAAATCAACTGTTACATAAAAAACCTAAAGTACATGGACAACAAAAGAATTTAAATAATAATAATGCACATATAATATGCCTTTTTTGTTTTTTTTATCGACTCCAAGGGCCAAATGCTAAGAACGATCAGAAAATGTCTTAATATTTTTGATCTAGTATCATAGGAAAAAGTGAACGAGTGATCCCACATCCATAACAATGTAATTAAATGAATTCTGACCACCAATTTAAATGTCTATGCTAAAATATAAATCATAATTACTTTTATTCGTTGTACAGAAGTATTATTTATTTCGTTGTCGAAATGTTTCTGTTCGATGTCGTTATCGAGTAGTGATTGAAACATTGCATTGTCTTGCTGTAAAGACACATCAAATGGTAATTGATCGTTAATAAGAGATGTTTTTTATGCGAAGGAAATAATTACCATTAATCTATTTTTTTCACTTTCTTTTTGCAAACACACTGTTTTCATCTGTTCATACTTATTTGCTAATATTTTTAAATTGTTCAACAATTTCTGCCTTTTGCCTTCAACTTCATAAAACAAAGACGTACCGTCATCAAGGCGTGTGGGTCCCGATTTAAGAGTCGCCAATTCAGACAACATAATTGCATTTTGTTCTTGCTCTTCCTAAAACATTTAAAATAAATTATTATTATCCCCATGAAAATTTAAAATCGACTCAGGGAACCTCCAAGGCAAGCTTCGCCGTTTTCAATTTGTCTATGGTTTCAGCAGAGGACGCAGAAAGCTCAGATTGTTCGTTAGCCAGATATTTTAATGACAGAGCAATATTCTCCTTATCACTGGATACATCTAAGAGCTCGGAATCTAAATTTTTATATTTTTCTAGGGCACTTTTGATATATACATTTTCATCCTTTTAAAAATAAAAGTATTATTGGTAAATATAATAACAATGATAAAACTGACACTCTTGAATCACCTTTAGTTGTTTTAATGTGTCCAGTAATGCTTTATAATCAACGGGGTCTACTTGTTCAGACATTTTCTCCAAGTGGGCAATTTCTGATCTATGCTTTTGAGAGAGAGATTCATTTTTTTCTTGGTACGTTGAAACATCTTTCTTCAAATTTTCTATCTGTAATGAGAGAATTTCAAGAAGTACAAGCAGTCGACTAAATTATACTACACTGATGGAGAAATTTAACACACCACTCAATTTATTTAGTTTAAAATTAAATCACTTATCTTACCACATTAGGTATAGGTAATTCAAATAAACAGTAAATAATGCTTTGTTTACTTCCTTTATTTATTTTTGTACTGATTAATCACATTTGCACAAAAAGTAACATTACACCGTTCCATTCTGCAATGCCTAAATATCGTTTTCAGTTAATCTTTTTCTATGGCTCCAGTCAGAGGTGGAACTCGCCAGGGGACTGAATGTAAATCACTCTACAATAGGACCTTCGGAGAAACACAAGAAGGCCAGGACAGGGTGGTATACAGACCAGAGCGACGATAAATTCATCCGTCATCAAACTTTACGAAACCACAGCATTACAGGAAATGAGATAGGAAATCTGATAACGCGAGACCGAAATGCTTTGATTTCCTTCAGAAAGTAAGAAGGTTCAATGGAAATAACTTGAGGGCCTGGCATCCAGCACATGAACCTCTCCCATCACAGTTTAGAATCTGGCCAAGCTTCAATTGAATACCGGTGAATATTGAGCTGAATTGAACATTGGGAAAGTTCTCTTTACAGACGAGGTGAGAGTTGGCCTCAAATCTTCAGAGAGTGTAATTTTATATGAGATGCTCAAGAGAAAGGTATGTCTTATGTTGTGCGGTTCTCAGGTGGGTCATTGGTGTTCTGGGGTGGCATTTCCTTGGACGTCCACACCGAATTGATTGTTGTGCGAGAAATATCTCAAACTTTACAGAGGCACTTACAAGATATAATCGAAGAACACATGTAGAATGTCGGCGAGAGATTCTTGCTAATGCAAGATGATACTAGGCCACATTCAGCACTTTTTGTGGATGGTTATCTGAAGGAGTTTGGAATCGAGTGCTTGGTGTGGCCAGTTCAAAGCCCAGATTTGAACCCGATTGAACACATTTGGGACCAAATTAAGCGACGAGTACGACGGCGAAACCCAGGTCCTAACACCCTAGAAGAGTTGGAAACGGCTGTTCTTGATAAATTGAAAAAAAAAAAATTGCATGATTTTACCAGAAATCTTTTTGAAGGAATGCAAAGGCATTTAACCCGTATATGCCCAGTGTTGCAAAAACGCAACGTCCCATTTTCTAAAATAGAATTTTCTTTTTCTTTCCATTAAATGTTATTTCGGGTTCTATTTTTAGCTTTACCCTCCAACGAAATATGACTCATTTGCTTTTCCGTTTTATTGGCAACCCTCGTTTGTGTTGTGTATTCCAAATTGAACGTTCTTGAAGGAGAAATGTCTCAAGAAAAGTAAGTTTTTCTATTACAATATTACTTATTCTTTTACATGCAACGTTATTTTCGTTTTTCTTTATACTGTTGAAAATAACTGTGTGCAAAGGCTCATAGATATTCCGCAGCTCATAAAAAAATCCAGGTCCAACAACTGCAAATGATAAAGTCTTACAACCAAAACATGGGGGGGGGTATAGACAGGAAGGATCAAAACGTTGCCACTTACCGTACATCCATCAGGTCTAAAAAATGGCGGTGACCCATATTTCTCTGGACTGTAGATGTGGCTCTACAGAATGCCTGGTTGTTATACAGAGCTTCTCCAGGAAAGACATTAGATTTTTTGCAGTTCAAGAGAAGTGTTGCGAATGAACTGCTTGAAAGATTCGGAAATGCACCTAAATGAACAGGGTATTCGACATCAACTGTTATGAGCAGCATTTCGTCGGGGACCCGATTCGACAAAATTGGGCATTTCCTAGGGACGAAAGAAAAACGAACCCGATGGAGTATGTAAATCCACAACCATTAAACAATGTGTAAAATGCGGAATCGCATTGCACGAAAAATGTGTTCTTGAATTTCACCAAAACTAGACAATTGAAAAAAATTTGTAGTTACAAAAAAGAATGTTGTAAAAATATATATATAATTATAAGGTTATTATGATTCATGATGATTTTAATTTACCTATGTTTTCGAATATAATCCTAATTTCATACATATGTATAAGACAAAGGTAATAAGGAAAAATGACTCCTCAAGTGACTGGTGTTGCGTTTTTGCAACTAATTTGCATACTAAATGCCTAGCTATATAAAAAAAAAAAAAAAAAAAAAAACGGCATATACGGGTTAACAGACATGATTTTGCCCGAGGTGAAAATAATCGGTATTAAAGGGGACAAGAAAGTTTTTTGTTTTACATTTTTATTTGATTTTGAATTTTCTGTATATTTATTTATTTTTGTTTGCTCTTTACTCGATAACTTTTCTTTTTAAACATCTTATTTTTACAACCAAACCTAATTTTGGTATAGCATTAAAATTTAAGGCATTAATTTTGTCCATCAGCGTATAATACAACATGACAATAATACAATACAATATGACATTTACATAATTAGAAAAATGCATGCAAATATTTTGTTTTTATTACCCGTTCTTTTAATGAACACAACTGTTTGACTTCGTATTCCTTGATTTTAGCTTCTTGCTTGGCATGAATGGTATTCGTCTCCTTGCGCAAAATTTCAATTTCCTCTGAAAGCGATTTTATCAAACCCTTCGGTTTATTTATCTCATTTAGTTCATCTCTCAATTTCTATGTATATACAAAACAAAAAATCTATTAACATTTTAATGGAACTCAGCTCAACCAAAACAATTTCAGTAAAAAATGGTGTGTGAGAATGAATAGAATATACTTTCTTTTTTCAAATAAATTACATGATATAACAAAAAATTAAGTGTTTTACAGCATGGATTTTATTCCGTCTGTGGAAGGTATTTTTCCAAATAAGTAAATAAATTTAAAAAAAAATTAAAATTAAAAACAATAATAATAACAAAGAACTTGTGATTCTCTCTAGATTGCGAATACAGGACACATAAGGCAATAGGCTTTTAATACACAACAAACTTGTCCTTGATGTATGCGAAGTGGAGAACGTATCATTCTGCCTGAAAAACATATTTTGGTCGACTGTCGCACTTTTTAACCCTTTAGACAAAGGCTCAGCCTATCGAGTGATTTAAAGGAGTTACTGGGTGTTTCTCAAATTTATTGGAATTTATAATGAGATTTAGCCCTTTTCCCAAATTGTTATACCATTGAATATTTGTCTGGTAGTGTCTGAATGAGAGTTGTGCGTGCAAGATTTTTTTTTTCAGGAATTTTTGAGGCTGCCGGAGCTTAAAAATTAAATAGAAGAAAATACAAATTGCAGGGTGTGTCAACAACATTGACAGGGACATGTCCATCAGCCACAGTCAGGAGGACTCAGACAGCCACCATCGAGACAGTCGTTAGAAAAGGCAGTGGCAAGGACACGACGTTGACTGTCGAGTGTCTCGGAAGCAGCGGACAGGAGGGCGGACTCAATCAGCCACAGTCAGGAGGACTCAGACAGCCACCATCGAGACAGTCGTTAGAAAAGGCAGTGGCAAGGACACGACGTTGACTGTCGAGTGTCTCGGAAGCAGCGGACAGGAGGGCGGACTCAATCAGCCACAGTCAGGAGGACTCAGTCGCAGCAGCAACACTCACTCAACTCACAAACTCATTCCAGTCAAGTTCAGGACTCAGTCAAGCAGCCACACTTAGTCAGAGACATCGAATTAGTCGGCTGTCGAGGACCCAGGATGGTGCGGGAAGAGGATGTGGAAGCTGGTCGGGTAGGCCTCTTGTAAAAAAGCTCATCCCAGGGTTAAGAGTTGTGACTTACTTGTTTGACTTTTTGTTTATTACAATATTAAGACGGGCCAGTGTTGGATGTTTGGAACCTGCTTACACCCTAAAAACTGCTGTGACATACCTTGATGACGGTTTCGAGGGATTTGATATTTTCGACCACTTCCTCCATGGTTGACAGATCGGCTCGAAGCGAATCCATCTTCGCCCGGTACGTCCAACGGTTTTCCGACGAAAGCCGGCGGCCGGCAGGAAGGATTCAAGCCGAGTCGCGACCGCGCTCCTAGCGGCAACCAGTCCACTGCGATACGAATATTTCCTTTTTCTTTCGCTTTTCCCTTTCGCCCCGGTTTTCCTGTTCTTTCCGATTTTATTAAACTTTCAGAGAGAGATTTTTCCTTTTTTGTTTATCTGATGCGGCCGGGGATCCGCGACTCCGGTCGGTGACAAACGTCGGCATTTCAGCGCTCAGCAGAAGGTTGAACTTTGAAGCGTTGCCTCGTCACACAGAGAAAACAGGCGATCCACAACGGGGCCGCTTTTTGTTTGCCCCTCGGGCCGACTGCTTTCAACGAAATGCCGACTTAATTCACAAAACATTCCCGATTCGGTAATTATCCTCTTTTTTTAAAAATCCAATATATTTTTAAAAAAAATTTCCCCTACTTATGTCTTGTTGACAAACACAATAAATATATATTTTTTTCGTTTGAAATCTCCCTCGAACATGTCGAGTAGGATTTAAACGTGTTAAATGTGATTATAATCAGTGCTGACGGCTCTCTGGCCTTTCGATTAGTCATTTAAGTTCGTTATCAGTAGTGATAAAAAGGAAACTGCCGTGTTTTCAAATTCACCGGTCAGTCTTTAGTCTGTACTCAGTACTACTGGTGATTCCGCCTCCTCTTTGGTTTGTAAATATTTCATTCGACAATTATTTAAATATTAAGGTTCGTTGCCGTAAATATCCTGACAACGCCACTGTTGTTTGTCAGACTGAGTTAAACTTAGTCATTGTCAATTTTTTGGGGTAAAATAAAGCAATCATTTCATTTCCATTGTTTAATAACACTGCCGATGCACAAGACTTAACCGCCACAATCTGGACGCTGACGCTTGCAATGCAACAAACATACGATTAAAAGAAAGTGACAGTGTCGGTGAGAAGCTCTCACGTATCAAGAGCGCTTTCGATACATGGCCGTCGGATGACCTGGCTCGTAGAAGAAAGGTCGTCCTCGCCCGATTAAGTATATGCGAGGTTGACGGACATTTACTTTTCGGCCAGAGGCTGCATATGTGTCTAGCATGAGAGATGCTCGATGTGTCCTACCAAATTGACAGGTGCAATTCCTTGGCTCCATGTACAGAACATGCAGGAGTGCCACCTGATTTGAGAATTGTGCATGAGTACAGCAGTATTTCGGTCCCCTGTTCCGATTCTTGGAGGAAATGGTTTTGTTTCATTGTATATACTATATAGTAATGTGTGGATTTATTTAGAAATCGTGAGAAGCGATCTGGTGTGATGTAGGTTTCAGAAAAACAATAAAAGCACAACAATAAAGAAAATGTTTTTCTGAAACCTACATCACACCAGACCGCATCTCACGATGTCTAAATAAATAAAAGTATATAGTAATAATAGTTGTGTATACCTAGCTTGTTTGGAGAGTGAATGTATTTATTAGCATAAATGTAGAGTGTGAGAAAGCCAATGGCAGAATACTGAGTACCCAATTGACCCTCAATTAGGTTAGTTATATAATAAGTGATTGTTTTGTTTATTATAGTATTGATAGTTTTGTGTCCCAGGCGTGTGTTGAAGGTGGATGGCACGCATGCATGTCGATGGTGGAATATCGAGTACTCCATAGCAATTGAGTGAATGGGATGTAAATGGGAGAGAATGAATGGAGTGTGAACTGTATGCATTGGGTGCTGAATTGACCTAGCTGTTGACAAAACTTAACATCAAAAACGAGCAAGTATAGATGGACCCAAGCTGGTTGGATACGTGTTCACTGACTCGCTGGTCAACATCAACTATCAGCTTTAAGCCTTAAGTCAGTTAAAAAGCCTTTTCACACAACTACCTCAGAAACGTTTCAATTCATCCTTCCATTAAAAAGAAGTCATTGATGATGTTACTGCAATTCCTGGGTCTTGATATCCTAGGTTATTTTTCATTGAGCATTTGCAAAGGTGGTGGTTTCTTCCTTCTCATTGCATGACCCACATATTGGGTGTTTTGTCAGATGCTCGTGACGTTATAGACCTGCATCACTACCCTGATGATGATGCTAGGAAGTGGGCTTTGGTAGTTCCTTAGTTTAGTTTAATTGAGTAGAGTCTTCTATTAAAATGGTGGTCATTGACTCTTGTTGGCTGTTCTTTTCCCTAGGTCTTATTCTTATTATTCGCCCTTACTTTTTTAAGATGTGGATAGTAAACTTCACAAACTAACTGGGAAAAAGGGTTGTTGCTGAAGATGGCACCCTTCCCAGTTCATATAACCTCCATAACCCATTATTGTGGGTTTTCCCCAGGGTTTTAGGTCCACTCCTTTGTACAATTTTTCTCCAGGATCCTCTCCTTACAACCCACTCTCTTTAATCCCATCTTCAATATGTCAAACCATGTTTCAATGGATCAAGGTTTAAGGTTTTACCCATGTTATGTTGGTGTTTCCTCAGATGCTGGTGACAGGTATAGAACTGTATCACTACTCTGAAGATAGTAAAAAAGCTGCAAAAATGAAGATTTTGGTATTGTATTTATTCCGGCTTATTGTACTTTGCCTAGTGCCTTTCTATAGCTCCATACTAGGGCCTAATTTAGTTCCATTGACATGATCCTTCTCTTAAGAAGTATTAGGTCATTGACTGTTGTTACCGCAATTCCTAGGTCTTCTGAATATCCTAGGTTATGCTCTATTAAGCGGTTACTTTGTATAGCAAAATAATAAGGGTGGTAGTTTCTTCCTCCTCATTGCATTACTTGCAAATGGATTAATTTTTGAATATAGCCATGTTGTGTGAGAGTTTTCTCAGATGCCAGTGGCAGGTATTTAGTCCTATCACTAGTTTTACTCTCTCTAGCTGTAGCAATTTTCCAGTTTTGGTGAGGGTTCTTTAATCATAAGTTGACTACCTAACATCTCTTGTATTCGCCCTCATTTTGTTTTTTGTGGGGCCATTCTGAGATGGAATATTCTGTATTTGTCCTTGTTATCCCAAGTATAGGTTCTGGGCCTAGATCAGATTCTCCTCTAGCAAGTTTGTCTGTTTTTTCATTAACCGGATCTGCTTTGTGCCTTGACACCTTGATTATTGTCAGGTTGATTTTTCCCCCGGTTTTGGAGATTTTGGATGCATTCACTGACTATTTTAGATGTAATATTTTTATGTGCTAATGCTTTTATGACTGCTTGACTGTCTGATTTTTTTTGTCGGTGTAATCTATTTTAAGATTTTCCATGACACCCGTGACAGGACAGATACTTGGAAGATAAAAATAAACAACCAGAAATCAAGACATGTTGACTTCACAAATAGAAGAATCAGTAGACAAATCATCTTTAATGATTAAGTTGTAATACGAGATTCCAATAAAATATTTAGGCATGATGCCAGATAAAAAATAAAATCGGAAAGAACTTGACTTCAAATATCGACTGTTGAGAAGGAAATCCAGACTACACAGGGTGTCTCTTTGAATCTTTCAATATCACTTTTCTCGAAAACAATTTACGATATTTCAAAAAATAAAAAATTAAAACTGGAAAAGTGAACACCCCTTGTTTTTCCCAAGGATCTAAGGTAAGTGTTCTAAACCAGTTTTTAATGTCACAGAAATAGGTAATTGTCAACATAATTTTTCAAATGAGACCTACCTAGTCTTGATATTTTTTCAAAAACTAGATTTTTGAATTTAAAAAAAAACCAAGAGTAATTATACATTGGTTGCTTGATCTCATTTCTGTTTTGCAAATAAACCTACTTTTGTAATATGCCAAAAATCTGCTCTAACTCGTACTCGCACCAATGTCAAATTAAAGCTGTGAAATGATAAATTACAAACATTTTCAATTAAAAAACAATTTAAAAAAAATAGAAATTGATAAGAGTTAGTGATAGGTAAAACAAAAGGAAAAAGTTAATCGATGAAAGAAAGTTTATCTTTGCAAAATAATAAGATTAAGGCACCAATATAAAAGTACACAATGGCTTATTATTTCATTTTGAATTTACAATACCAATACTTCATTACCACTAGTTATATAATATTAAAAGATAACAGAATTTTTGCTGAAATTTCGATATTAAGACGTGCATTATAACAGTGCAGTTCAAGATTGTCTTACATTCATAAACTGCATATAACTTTTTTCAATAAAATTTAGACTAAATTACTGGCAGGCTTCGAGAACCACCCACCCCATTTGTAGGCATCCAGGGTCAGACCTTGGTTTTATCCATCCAGCCACTGAGGTTAGGCTCCAGGGGCTACCAACAACAAGGTCATTTCCCCAGCACAATCAGTTCATAAATCTATTCACACCCACCCACTCTTAATTAAAATTTTTCTTAATTCACTAAGGGTAGTGGTGTACTCAATATTCCTTTATATCCATACATATAACTAACCTAATTGAGGTTCAATGGACTATATTCTGCAATCGGTCCTCTCACACTACACATTCATGCCAATAATTACATTCACTCTCAACACTCACTAGGGGACACAAAACTGTATACAATAAAACAACCTGTTTTCATCCAAGAATCAGAACAGGGGACCAAGATATCGCCATGATCAAGCACGATTATCATACACGCTCTTTGTAAAGGGGACAAGGAATTCACTCAAGTGGGACATATTGAGCAACCCTTTGCATGCCTGAAACATAACATACACAAGCTTTGACCGAAAGTAAGTGTCTGTGCGTCAACCTCGTATGACCTATCCTTAATTGGGTGTGATTGACCTATGAGTCAGGTCCTCCCAGTGCCATCTATCTACAGTGTTCTTGATATGTGAGAGCTTCTCTGCCGATCCGGCCCACTGACGCTGCCACTTTCTTTTAATCATGAGTTTTATTGCATTTTTTACGTCAGAGGGCTGGATCGAGGTGATTTAAGTGACGAGGTCCACCCTTTTGCTGAGTATGCAAAATTAAATATAAAAATAAAGTTCATTAGAGTTCGTGGTCCGATTGACCGAATAACGTTTTTCAATTAATTAATCTTTATATAAGGCATTGGTTGAGATAAAAATGTCAGTGTCATGAGTGGGATTTGAACCCACGACCCTCAGTGAAATACGCCGTTGCTCTACCACTTGAGCTATCGTGACTTCGATCCACTCGGACACTAACTTCCCATCTCAACCCCACTTTTCGTATTTTCCATCCTTTTTGCCATTGTTCAATGGGAAATGATGATAGCTCAGGTGTTAGAGCAGCGGCATATTTCGCCGAGGGTCGTGGGTTTGAATCCCACTCATGACACTGACTTTTTTTATCTCAACCAATGCCTTATATAAAGATAATTAATTATAAAAATAAAGGATTCTTTTTTTAATTGAAGATAAAGAGATTTAAAATTCAATATAAAAACGAATGATTTTTTTTTTACTAATTCAAGATTTTGTTTTTATATTTAATTTTAAACTGTTAACTGTAATTGATTTGCATGCTGTATGTTAGATAAGAATATTTATTTTTTAGTTTTTACAAATTATAAAATTAAAAAGAGAATTCTTTTTTATTTCTATATTCAATTTTATATAACTTTTAATTTTAATTATAATTATTTTTAATATGGTCTTCAAGAGGCCAGTTATTTTATATTTTAAAAAACCCTCAAATGTACAGGAATTTTACTTTACATCCTTTATTTCATACCATCTCAGAATTTTTTTTTTAATGCTTTAAACAAAAGGTTAATTTGAAATTAAAAAGGGTTAATTTGAAGTTTAAAAAAAATACCTTTAACATTAAAACTAGGCTAATTTGAAGTTAAAAAAAAAGTTTCCTAAAAATGTTAATTGAAGTTAAAGATGGTTTATTCGAAGTTAAAAAGGGTTAATTTGAAGTTTAAAAAAATACCTTTAACATTAAAACTAGGCTAATTTAAAGTAAAAAAAAAGTTTCCTAAAAATGTTAATTGAAGTTAAAGATGGTTTATTCGAAGTTAAAAAGGGTTAATTTTGAAGTTTAAAAACACCTTTAACATTAAAAATAGGCTAATTTGAAGTTTAAAAAAAAGTTTCCAAAAAATGTTAATTGAAGTTAAAGATGGTTTATTTGAAGTTACAAAGGGTTAATTTGAAGTTAAAAAGGATTCATTTGAAGCAAAAATGTTAACTTGAAGTAAAAAAAGGTTAATTTGACATTAAAAAGGGTTAATTTGATTGAAAAAAGCTTTGCCAAGAACTATGAATGGGATTAATGGTATTTTTGCTCAATTAGATTGGAAAGCTTTTTAGCTGTGCTTCCAGGCATTCCATATGGCAAGCTTCAAAACTTTCCATATTCCAACAATTAATTATTTGTTATATTATTGTTTCCAGGTGGCGAGCTTATAAATAACAAAGCGTAAATGGATTTGTTAAAATGGCTGTGAACTTGAGCACCCTGATAATACTTCTAAGCATTTTTCTGAGATGTTCCGTTTCCCTGTACGGATACTCAGGGGAAGGAAGCCCGCCAATGTACGGAGACTACGAAGCCCAGAGGCATTGGATGGAGATAACATACAATTTAGACATTAAAGACTGGTATTTCAATTCAACTGAAAACGATCTTTTGTACTGGGGACTCGACTACCCACCGTTAACCGCCTATCACAGTTGGCTTTGTGGTGCTATTGCTAATTACCTCAATCCAGAATTTGTGGAATTGACCAAATCAAGAGGATTCGAATCACCCGAACATAAACTTTTCATGCGGTAATAATATTACATTTGTCTACTTAGCTCAAAGAGCACATTGTAACCCCCTTAAGTTTGTGTGGTATATAACAGTTTTTAGATTGTACAAAATTCAGTTTACATCACAGCAGTATATAATTAATTACCTGCAAACTGACATGTACAGATAATGCGTAATAATAATAAATAAATAACTGTTAAAAGAAAATTGAAAATTGCCTGTGAATTTACTACACTATATTCATATATTGTGACTAAAAGTATAATCAGCTGAAAAATGGTTTCAATTCTTTAAGTATGCTTTTGACTTTTGGGTCTTGGCAGCCAGAGTCAGCAGTCTTTTCCGTTCTGGAGCCAAAGTCCAGGGCTGTTAACTGCTAGGTCATTTCAGCCCCCAACGCATCAGTTTTTAAATCTTAATCCACTCATTCTAAAAAAAAATTCTTTCCTACTTATCATTCATTCAAGTAGGGTAGTGAAGTACTCGATAAGAGTACTCACAGCATTCCTCTACAGCCCTTCTAGCATTTACTCTCGATGTACACAAAAAGTAACACAAAACAAGATATCAGTTCTGTGTACAATAAAACGGCCTTATTTCCTCCATAATGTAAGTGTGTCTTGCCTATTCTTAATCAGGTGAGGATGATTTAAAATACAGATCCTCTGAGGGCCACCCATCGACCATGGTATGTTTTTCAATATTATACCATGAGCAATCTAAATAAACCAAAAACGAATATCTATTAGTGCTATATAAAACAGCTCTGTTTCCTCCAAACATGAGAACAGGGGACCCAAATACTCACCATCAAGCACAATTTTTATTATTGGGGCCTATACGCTCTCTATATGGAGCCAAGGAATGACAATAATTTGAGAAGCCTTTCTCTACATGCCGGTCACATAAATAAGTGTGTGTGTCAACATCACATAACCTAATCCTTTTTTAAAAAAGATAGTTCTTACTCAAAGTAAGTTGTTTTCCAATGATCCGGATTTCGAGCCCTTAGCTCATCATCAGGTTGAAGGATTTCTACAACGCCTCTCGACATGAATTGCAAAAGTGAACTCGCCGATATCCCCACCAACGCGACTTTCCAGTGAGAAGCTGGTTTTTTAATGGCGCTCAATTTGAACGAAAAATTTTGCAATTCATGTCGATAGACGTGGTTGTAGAAATCCTTCATCCTGATGATGAGCTAAGGGCTCGAAATCCGGATCGTTGGAAAACAACTTACTGTGAGTAGGAACTATCTTTTTTAAAAAAGGATTGAACACCGCACTCACTCCATCATTCGTTATTTCTATCACATAGCCTATTCTTAATCAGGTGAGGAGGATCTATGATTCAGATACTCTGAGGGCCACCCATCATCCGCATCCTTGATATTTCACCATCTGATGCTGCCACTTCCTTTTGGTCATATTTTTTTATTGCATTTTTATTATCAGAGGGGTTCAATTTATATAAATTAATTTGTACAAATAGTATATTATAATAAATGTTATTTTCAGGTTTACAGTAATTGTGGCTGACTTGCTTACATTTATGGCTGGTGCTGTTATTTATTCCATTTTGGCGAAACCTGAAGATCGAGACATACAACTACTCATCCTTCTCGCCTATCCAGGTCTAATTCTTATTGACCATGGTCATTTCCAGTATAATTGTGTGTCGCTCGGTTTAGCTCTGTATTCTATTATTGCCACGATTAAAGGTTTTGATACCACTGCTGCCATTTTGTTTTGCTTATCACTTAGTTACAAACAAATGATTCTCTACTATTCTTTACCTATATTTTTTTATTATCTAGGAATTTGCAAAGACATATTTTTCAAACGTAACTTTTACACAAGTTTTGTCAAGTTTTTTTGTTTAGCTTTATCTGTGATATTCTCAATTTTCATTGTTTGGTTACCATTTATGTCCAGTTACAGTCAACTTGCTCAAGTCCTACACAGATTGTTTCCGTTGGAAAGGGGTATTTTTGAAGACAAAGTGTCAAACTTTTGGTGTATCGCTAATGTAATTTTCAAATTTAGAAATTATATGTCCAATGAAAAGATTGCTATGGTGTGCGCCATTCTGACACTTTTGTTTTCCATCCCCTCTTGCATAGATGTTTTCAAAACACCGATTAAAGACAAGTACATACTAGCAACAATAAACACTTCTTTAGCATTTTTTATTTTCTCTTATCAGGTACATGAAAAGACCATCCTTTTAGTCGCCCTTCCTGTCATGCTTTATTTCAACAAACAGCCGTTGCATTGTTTTTGGCTACTTAACATTTCAACTTTAAGTATGCTACCTTTATTTTTAAAAGATAAACTGTTAATACCATTTTTAGCTCTCAATTTATTATTTCTCATATCGGTGTATGCTATATGTCATACTAAAGATATAACATGGTTGAAAAGAAAAGTTATCAACAATATTTTTGTTTTCTCCCTAATTGTTGGTTTCGTACTGGCCTTGATTCCAGTACTTTGCAGTCCTCCACGTAAATACCCCGATTTATTTTCTTTATTGATATCCGTTTATTGTGGTCTTCATTTCATGTATTTTTTAATATACTTCACAAAATTACAGCTAACATTGAATGTGAAATTGAAAACATATTGAATTAAATGTTTGACTATGTAAAATAATAAGTATGTGTTCTAAAAATGTAAATTGTGATACCACTTTCCAATAAATACAATATTTTGTGATAGAAATAGTTTTTTCTTCTTTCCCTTTTTCATTGTACATATTGAACCTAAGAATCGATTCACCAAGTAATCACTTTAAAAACTGATTGTCTAATATAAATTTCATTTCTAGGCTAGCTCAAGAACAATGAGCAAGAATCATTAATAGTAAAGATTATTAATGATATTATTAGTCTGTGGAAACAAGGATCATAAGACTAACAATGTAAATAATAAAGAAAAATTGATGAAACAGGATTCTTATTATGGATAGTAAGTTTCACCCTCTGTACAAAACCTCTGATGAACTTTAAAATGAGCAATTAAAAGTAATAAAAATTAAAACCAGATATGAGATATTTAACCTAAATTATCGACCATGGTAACAACATGATACTAGTTGCTCAATGCGGTAGAGGTTAAGGATAAAAGAAGATTAAATCAACCAATATAGTAATAAATAAATAGTATACATAAAGTGTACTCTTTTGTTGGTATTTCACATAATTTTGAATGGCACTGTGCCCAATAGGTAGTGTGCGCCTGAAAGACAGTGGCATATGGTAAAGATAACGCTGCCTACAGGATGTTAAATAATATTGTTGATTACAGCTAATTTTTATTTTGTTTTATTTTAACATGGATATGTTTTTAGGCTTCATCAATTGTTTTGCATGACCATTATCGTGTCTCTGGGGAGTATGCATTGGTTGGGTTAGGGTTAGTTTAGGTAGGGTTATGCCATAGAGAGGTTAGGTTCGATAGAGTTAGGGGTTGTTTTTTTTTAAAGACAAATGACATGAAGCACAATAAAGTTCTATCGATATCCACAAAAATTTTAGGGAATTTTAAAACATTTACTTCTTGTGAAGCGTAATGAGTTGTTTAGTTCCATCTGTCTGTATGAGCGAATAGAATATTCTTTTTTGGTGATACTCATACTTTTGATCTTATGTTTTTGGACTTCATCAGTTATTTTATGTGAACGTTTTCACATTACTGAGTGTGCATTGGTTGGGTTAGGTAGGGTTATGCCATGGACAGGTTAGGTTCAATATGGTTAGGAAATATCCAAAAAAATTTTAGACATTTTTAAGACAACCCACACATTGCTTCCTTCTCATGAAGCATGATGAAGTCCTTTAGTGCCACCAGTCTGTTCCAGTGAACGGAACCCTTTTGATCTTCCCGGCATAGTGTTCAATAGCTAGTCTTCACCAACAAGACAGAGGTGTATAGTAAAATATAATGATGCCTACAGGATGTTAGTTAAGTAGGGTAGTTGATTACAACTAATTTTATTTTATTTTAACATGGATATCTTTTTGGGCTTTATCAATTATTTTGTGTGCCATTTTTGTGTTTCTGGGGAGTATGAATTGGTTGGGTTAGGATTAGGTTAGGTAGGGTTATGCCATAGAGTTAGGTTCCATAATAGGGATAAGGTTGTTTTAAAGACAATTGACATGAAGCACAATAAAGTCTTTTGATATCCACAAAAATTTTATGGAATTTTGGACAACTCAGAGAATGCTTTTTCCTCATAAAGCAAAATTAAGTCCTTTAGTGTCACCGGTCTGTCCAAGTGAATGGATATTCTTTTGTTGGTAATATACATGTTTTTGGGATTCATCAATTATTTTATGTGACCATTTTTGTATTACCGAGTGTGCATTGGTTGGGTTAGGGTTAGGTCGGGCAGGGTTATGCCATGGAGAGGTTAGATTCGATAGGGTTAGGGTTTTTTAAAAAGACAATTGACATGATGTGCAAAGTCCTTTCGACATCCACAAATTTTTTGGCTATTTTTAAGGCTAGCACACACATGCAATTTTTAATTGCACAACAGTTTCGAAACTTTTTGGTTCATTATCAACTAAACTGCGCACATTTGAGCAACTAAGTAGTTTAGTTGTAGGTTGTGATTACACATGCAACTAATATATTTCAGTGTTATACTGGGCTTCGTCGAGTTAGCTATTTGTGTGTTCTTGAGTTAAGGAGAAGGCAGAAAATGAAGAAAATACACGATATTAGTGTATCCTCTTCATCACCCAATATTTGAAAAAAGGGCAATTTTATAAATTGCATAACATTTAAGAGACAATTACAAGAAATATTGTTTTCAAAAATTATTATCAAATGAGTGTCAACTCTTCTGTATTTGATACATCCTAACCAAGATACCAAGCACACAAATAAATTATGCAATTGTTTAGTTTGTGACAAAACACAAACTGTTTAGTTGGCCAGATTTTCAGTTGCTTTCAAACCCTGCGCAATCACTCCCGGGACCAAACTATTGTGCAACTAAAATTTGCATGTATGTGCCTAGCCTAAGGCAAACCATTGATTGTTTCTTTTTTATTCTTGAAGTGTAATGAACTCCTTCAGTGCCACCTGTCTTGTCCGAATGAATGGATATTATTTTGTTGGTAATACACATCCTTTTGAGCTTATATGTTTCTAGGCTTCATCGATTACTTTTGTTGATCATTTTCGTGTTACCAAGGAGTGTGCATTGGTTGGGTTAGGTGGGTTATGGCCAGGGACAGGTTAAATTAGGTGGGCTAGGGCTTTTAAGACAACTTGGACATTGTTTCCTCCTCTTCAACAGTAATGAAACCATTTGGTTCCACCTGTCTGTCCAAGTGGATGTATATTCTTTTGTTTCTAATACACATACTTTTGAGCTTCCTGGCACCGTGTTCAATAACCACAGTCCCTGCCTGAAAGACAGTGGCATATGGTCCAAGTTGTCCAAGGATAAGATGCCTCCTGGATGTTAGTTAAATAGTGTAGTTGATTAAAATTACGATTTTCTTTTTGTTTTATTTTAACATGAATATATTTTTGGATTTCATCAGTTACTTTGCATGAACATTTTCGTGTTTCTGGGGAGTGTTCATTTGTTGGGTTAGGGTTAGTTAGGGTTATGGCCAGGCACGCATTAGAGTTTTTTTTTACAATTGGACACACATTCTTTTCATGAAGCGCAATGAAGTCCTTTCGAAACTAACAGAATAAAATATATTAATTAAGATCTAAGGAAATAGTGATCATTTCATGATATTAACTCCTTTAACCCTGCATTTTACTTACTTTTAATTTTTGATTAGGATAAATTACTTAGTACATATTCTTGCAGGTATAATTAACAATTCAAATTTAAGGTTAAAAAAATATATAAAAATTCAAGAAAGAATAAGTTTTTTTAAATAAATAAGTAGAACAAAGCAAACACAGGATATTTGCTTTAGCATATGCTAGTATGTCATTTAAAACAAAATATGATTTAAGTATCATAGTAGCTCATTTAAAACATTTCGGTCAGGGCGAAACTTACAAGTGACAACTAGAGTTAAATTTTTCAACTTGAAATTACATAGACAAGTACATTTTCATGATACCGTAATACATTTTTTTTTTGTTTTTCCAGGATTCATTTATAATTTGGCTAACAGTTTACTTGTTTAAGACAATTAAAAAAAAGCATTATCATATTTTTTTCTCAAATGAGTCTGCTATTCCAGGTTCTGTAAATCAGTTCTATGGTAAGTTCATGAAATCCAAATAATTAATAACTTAATTCGACAATTAATTTAAAATAAACTTAGATTATTTTATTACGTTCCCCATTAAAAAGTGTTACAGATGAAATGAAAGATAAATAAGTAGCTTGTTATTTATGTATACAAGAAAATGTAATCTGGGATTTGGGAAATATAAAAAAATTCGTGTATATTTTTGACTTACAATTGTTTTTTATTAAATCGTACAGGGTAAAGATTTGAGATATAAAAGGCACACTATAATAAAAATTGTAGTAATTATACTTGGGAGAGTTTTAAAATAAATAAATTTAAAAAAGCTTACATTGTTTGTTCTTGAATTGTGGTGTTTTGGCGTCTGGTCAAGTTTTACAGTTTGAATTTAAAAGAAAGCCTAAATTTTTTAAAAAAAATCCGTTAGGAAGAATTCGGGTGGGATAAATTCAAAATGGGATATATAATAAAGTGTTTTGTATACAGTGAGCATGTTAATATTCTGTATCAATATTTTATTTTGTTTGTACATATTACAATTATTATAAATGAATTAACAATATAAATACTAGTCCTTTTGACTAAATTAAAATATTATGTTTCAACAGTATAGTTTCACTGGGCTCAATTTAGGAGTAGGTCCACAAGGAAAATTTGCTGAATGTGACAATTTGCTAATATCTTCCTATTTTTTGTACTTTTTTTGATTTTTATTTTTTAAACGTGTTAAATGAGCATTGTGTGATTTTACATGTAAGTGGACCTAATCCTGCAAGTCTCTCAAATTAGGAAGTATTTTTCATTAATCATAAGATGTCGTACAGTGGTTTAATCTGAAAAATATCACACAGGGCAAATCCACTGAATTGTGTCCTTTCTACATAAAATCCCATTGCCCCATTGTCCACAAAAAAGCTCTCAAGCGTTTCAAACCAAAGAAACCACCATTTCTCAGAACAAAACAATTTATGTGCTTCAAGATCAAATTTTTTGGATTTTATAAAAAATTATCTTATTTTATAACACTGACAGGTACACATACACTTTTTTTCTGAAGGTATGCAGTTAGGCTATCACATAACTTATTTTAATAATCACGTTGTTTCTTTATTTCATTTTATCTCTGAATTTCTCTTTCATTCCATGTAATCAATTAATAATATCAATGAAAACTTTTTTACTGTATTTATAAAACAATGAGGTATTGAATTTAATTTGGACACAATTTAACTAATGTCAGAATGATTTTGATACGGCTAAATAATTCTCAATTCTTTCGATTCCGTAAAATCATTTTTTGTTCTGTACTGAAGACTATATCAAATTAAGTGAGCAGAAAAAAGAAAAAAAAACGATCGAAAATTTTTTTGTTTTTATATTCTGAAATCCATTAAATTGTGCAATTTTTAATAGCAACAGAAAATTGAGAAAATCATTAATGTAAATATATACTATAAATTAAGTACACACAAGCTTTTTCTTAATTTAATTTTTTTTTATTTTCAGGTAAAAGGTAATCTGTAACTTATTATAATTTTATTTATAACTATATACTAAAACTTTTAAGTTTTAAACATTAACAAATCTTGTTTAAAAGATGAAAAATAAATTAAGTACTGGATAAGGTACGAAATGTAGATTTTGTATACAACCAATTAAAAGTCGATATGATGAAAAAAAAAATTATTCAAACACAAAAAGCATAGGTAAAAAATGAATAAATAAAAACACAAAAAAGATGAACTTCTAAGATAATCAAGGCAATTATGATTCGACTAATGAACACAAAAGTAAAAAAAGTACTTAAAAATTATTAAATACAAATATTTTCTCCACCATTGTGAATGGCACATATTTAAGGATTTGCTTACTAACTCGGGGGGGTAGGTCTTATATAAACGTGTTAATTGGATGAAATTGTGGCAGTTATTCTCAATAAGAATAACTAAAATGCAATGACTTATTAGAAAGACCGACATATTCCCTACTACTTTTTTTACACCATTTCAATGATGTTAACGCCCTAAGATGACCATGACTTATTGTGTCTAACATTATTTTATTTACATCTATGTTTATAAATACATTTACCTTTTGTTTAGATATACAGATAAAAAAAAAATCTCAAAGTACATCCAAACGTGGTAAATGTATTTATAATTTCATCATACATACATATTAGAACAACAACAATATTTATAACATGAGATTGGCTTGAGGGTAATTAGCTGTTTAAATTGATTTAATTTTGTTAGTATATTCAATAAATTTATGCCTAATTACAATATGTATGCACAGTCACAAAAGATCTAATATGTGTGAAAAAAAATACACTACACATGTAAAATGTTTGCAATTTGTTAATAACAATGGTTTAGAGAATTATATCAATGAACACAATGAACTTTAGAGATAGTTAATAACATTTGTGTGTCAAAACTAATTAATGCAATAAACATTATCTAGTGTATATACATATGGTGTGTTTTCATACCTTTAAACCTTCTCCGAAGTTTAAAGGACACAGGTTATACTTATCATATCTATAGTACCATATAACAAGTATATCATAGCAATGAACAAACAATGCCATTTAGACTATAATTAAATAATATAATTTCAACAATAAAAGCAAATGACATAAGGCACATAATGCTGAGTAAATTCAACAACACAATCCTTGATAGAGCCTCATTCATAGGGAGGACACAAGCATCTATGGAAAGAAAAAATCCACACACAATTTCACCGTTACAAGTGGGCCTTCTTTAAATGTTTACATTATTATTATTACTTTTTTTTTTTTTACTTTTTCATCCTGCAACTTAACTTAGCATTTTTCGACACAACTGTTCTATCTAAAATGGCAAATTATATGCATGGCACATAATTGAAGCACCAAATAAATTACTAAATCCAGTGTCTGATTCACTAATTTTTTTTTTCCATGAAAAGACAAAGTTGTGTTTTTTTTAAATATTTTATTTATTATAAAACTAACGCGACAGGCAAACCACAAAGTTCTACAAAGTTGTGTTTTTAAGTTTAAATTTTGTCTTTATCGAATTATTTCAATCACATCTTATTGAAAGTGTTTTTTTTTCTCTTTTAAATCTTGAATAATTTGAAAACTTGAAAACACACGTTTGTTATAAATTTCTTTTGGAATAAGCCATCATGTTATTTATTTTTATTACACTTAATTGCACAATGTCTCATAAATTCAAATTGTCTTAGCCTGACGAACTGTTCTGCCCAATTTTTTCGTTATTAACATGTATAAAGGGAATATTTATGGAAATCAAATTAAAAGGAAGGATTTTGATTATTAAGTTAAAAAAAATCGCTATACATGTAAAATAATTAAAAGTCATATTTAGTAAAACGAAAGGGATGAAGATTAAATCTATACAGTTGGTCCTCATCCACTTTTAAAAAGTATTTTAGACTAAACAGTTTAATGATCGTTTAGAAATTTAACAATAATATTTATATATGTACATATATAAATATGTTAACAATTTTACAGTCTCCCTAACGAGTTTGAGTCTGTGTGAATGCGTGAGTGTGTGTGCCGAAAAATAACAAATCTTTGTAAATTATATTTTAAACATCTTATTTAAAAACAATTAAAGAAAAAATATTAATATTAAATGTTATATTACAAAATGCTAGCCTTGTTTTTTTTTATTTTTAAACCCTCTTGTTAAACTATTAGTTCTAATAAGTAATCCTATAGTTAAGAGAAGAAGTTTTTTAAAATTTATTTATAAGATAGAATTCTAAGCGATTAGGGAGACTGATAAATTAATGCAGAATATAAGGAGGCCATATAACAAGCAAACCCATCCCATGAATCAGAGAAGGTAATAGGGCGTAAATTGAACATTCTAATGTAAATAACATTCTACAAAGTTAAACAATAACCCTTTTACATAGTTTAAAACATCTTGTTATTGGCTATATTATAATGTACAATAATTACATGTACCAGACCTTAATACCCATGAAACAAACAACAATGGGTAATGGAGGCCTGTCTTTAGGCAACAGTGTATTTTTCATTTTTTTTCAGTTTTAAACTTTTGTGTTTGAAATATATTAATTTAAAGTAAATAATGACTAGACTGCTGTCTCTGTATGACTATGAGAGGAAAGTCGTTCGACATCGATTTCCGGTATCATCAATTCGTCGTTTACATTATCTGCGTAATCAATGGAAGAGGTCTGCGAGAGACGTTTACTAAAGGAAGTCTGCTTTCTGAGGACCTCTGCAAGCGACTCTCCATAGCGAGCGTCGAGACCCTGACGGAAAGCATTTACTACTCGTATCTGAAACGAAATACAATGAAGAGAGGGATTCCAATTTTTATTACAGTTATTTGTGTGTTGTAAAAACATGCTGGGACATACCCTTGTGGTTGTTCCGATCTCACCGCATGCCCTAATGCACAGAAGCACACAACTGCTGCATGCATACGAGCTGCTGCAGTTCATTTACATGATTTCTGTATCATTTTTGTCTTTTCAATTTTTTTTTTTTCTTTTAAACCAGTACAGTGAACATTCAGAAGACGCCTTGATATTTCGTATATGACTCATTTTTGCCCTGCTTTGTGTGTGTGAAATTTTTTTTATTTATTTATTTATCTTTTTTTGTGTGATTATATTTTTCGTTATTTACTTCCTAACCCAACTTTATGGTACAGGTCTAAAGAACTGATGTACTCACAAGCTGTTTTGTAAAACTTTTTTATACTTTGAGCCATATTTCTTTTTGTTTGAAAGAAACACTATTTTAATATATACAAAAACCTAGAATAATGTGCAAGATAAACACTCCGACACAGATAATTATATTTACTTTATACAATCAAGTGACAACCTTTTATTTACAATAACTAATTCATAGTTAATCCATAAATAACATATGAATTAATTACCTTAATTAACAAAATTTAATAATTAAAGATGATCTATTATAATATTGAAATAAAATTATGTATATATTTACATTAATTTGTTTTTATAGAATACTGTTTCTTTTTTTTTCACATGGAATCATTTATTTTTCTGTGCCCTAAATATAATTTTTACACTATGTTTACTACAATTTAGTGTTGTGGTATAAAATATAATAAAGAAAGAAACTTTTCTTATGGTCTTTTTTTATCTTTCAATAAATTTTGCAGTACTTTTCATGCTTCTACTAATCGTAATATTACATATGTCGTAAATAGTTAACCTAGTTTATTTATTAAATAGATTAAACATCGCATAAACGCATATATATAAACATATACATGTATGCTATGTGCACAATTGTATAAATATCGATAAATTATGTACCCCTTTTGGAAACAATTTTTGATTTAAAGTATTGACAAAATCTGTTTTTAAAACATTTGGTTAAAAAAATGAAAAGACACATTTTTAGCCAATTGTAGCATTATCAGGAACATTTTTTGTTTTAACTTAATATATTATTGAAAAATAAAAATACTAGAAAAGAAACAATTACATCTAAAATTTTATCTTATAATTTTAAAAATGTGTTTTTTTTTCTCTCTCGCTAAAGTAGCTATGTTTGATAGATCAGTACATATATGTACACAATGTATGATTAAATCTTTAAACATTCAGTGAGCTCTAAATTTTTTTCTCTCTTAAATTGCTGATTAATTAAATACGTGTGATGTTTATTATAATTTTTTCGATTAGCAACTATTTTCTTCATAGCGAAACTATTTTTACACTAGTGAAATAAGAATAGAAAAAGAAAGATTGTAAATTTTTTATGACGAGCAAATTCACAGACATACCATACTATATATAAATAATAAACAATATTCTTCCTAAAGGCTAACAATTTAAAAATGATAACAATAACATCAGCGACAATAAAACAACAATAAATAGCACCAGCAATCAAATTTTAGGTATATCTGGTTGAATCTACAAAATAAAACGTTTAGTTTAAGGTTTAAAATCTTATCAATTTTTTTTCTTTTTAACAATAACAAATTTCTTAACATTGACTAAAAAAATAAAAAGTTTTTTTTTTATATTACATAATATCCGCTATATGAAAATAAATTATATAGTTTTAATTTTCTATCAATGCACACATTTTATGAACTAAAGTTTTTTTTGGTAATATTTCACGATTTTTTTTCTCTCTCTCCTGCTTTATGAAATTGAAAATTCAAACTGTGGATGATTTGAAGTAGATGATTGAATAAACTCAATTTCTGTACTCACACTTTTACACTGTTGGATATGATGGCACAATTTTTAAAATTTTTTTTAAATTTCATCTTTCATTTGAACCGTCTGCTAATAGTTTACTATTTACATTTTTCCTGAAAAGAAATTCCCATAAATTAAAGTTTGTCATGTAACTCGTAATCAAAAATTACGTCCTTACCCTTACAAACAAGTTTTTTTTTGTTGTCAAATGTTAATTTTAATTTAAAAAAGAAATTTAACAAAGTAAATGTGAAAATTTATAATCCTTAATTAAAATCAATATAAAGATTTTTTTTTTTTTGAGAAATATATTGATTTTTTTTTTTTTAACTTCACGACGGTACACAATTTAATTTGTACACAGCAATAATATCTACTTTATGATAAAAATACATAAAAATCTTACAATTAAGCATTTGCACAAGTCAATTGTAACAATAACATCTATATAGTTTTTCAGTGACACAAATTGGCATACCTAAGATAAAGCAATTGGAGACACACTTAATTTTATTGTTATTATTTAAAAAATGCAGTGCATAATACCATTAACAGCCCATGCAAAATGTGTCACATTAAAAATATTAACTCCGAACATAGATATAATATTTTGGCAATGGTCAAGTTTTCCATATAAATATTGAAAAAAAAAAAATGTAAAAACTTTCTGTAAAAAAAAAAAAATCATTCAACCAGAATATTATATTTGTATGATCGAAATGATTAATATTTAAATTGCTTAACACTTTCGTTTCATCACAACAAAACTAACTTTAGTGCAACTTTTAACAATCTACTTTTATACACATCATCATAAAAGACAAGAGACAGAGTAATAAGCATACAGTCGTGTAATTCATTTAAAAAATAATATTTTCCTTTAAATATTCATTATGTATATGTATGTGTATATATAAATTCTAGGGGAGGTAGGGGAGAGGGAAATATGATCAAAATCCTGATATGTAACAAAATTTTGGATATATCTGAAAATAAAAAGACACATATTCATGCAGTCATTTGCTCTTCAAACTATTATGTACTTACAAACTATTGACATGGCATGAACACAGGTTTTTCGGGTCGATGCCAGTGTGTAGTGTAATTTGAAAGTAGCCATCGGTCGGAAAAATTTAATTTCGGCCGATGTATACTTTCCACTCGTGTTGTCACTTATGTGTGCACAAACATGCACACATATATACATAAACATAAAAAATATAACAACATATAAAAAGCATAGAGCAGACACATGAAATTACCTCACATGCTAAATAAATTGTATGAAAATTCTCATACAGCGACAATAAGAAACGCTCGTTTTTTTTTTGTTTTGTTTGTTTTTTGAACATTCATCACCAGTTATAATATTGATAGTAATGAGACAAAAATAAAAAAATAAAAAATAAAAGTGGAAAGGGACATTAACTAAATAAGCTACATTTTACAAATTGACTTAAATTATAAATCACATTGAATTCTAAGGATATCCAGAACATAACATTATAAATAGAATAAATGCTTTAGCACCCCTAACATGAACCCAAATAACACATATAACAAACACATTTGAACATTGTAATAATTTGAATAGTAATATATTGAGCTTAACAGTGACACGGCCGAAATGTGAGAAAGTAATTAAAACAAAAAAATTATCAGCACAAAGAGAAGCATATAATGTAAGCCGAACAAGTACTGTGGTTATTATACTCACAAAATAAAAGCGGACGTTAGCGCGACAGAATAGTGATAGTGGTCTCATGCAGTGCTTACGATGGGGCCACTTTGCTTTCATTTAAGGTAACAAGGTGATGCGCAGAAGGCCACGTATCCGCCACAAAATTCTGCAATACTCAAAAGTTAGGGCTAAAATTCAACAAATGTTTAATTCTTCATTTGTAAAATTTCAGTTCGCAAACAAATAATTGGTAAATTTATGCCAGTAGGAGAGGGGGCAGGGAGGTGGAGAAAATAAGGCGTATGCTTGATTTCGAAGAAAATAAATTGAGAAAAATAAAAATAATGGAATGTTTCAATAATAATGGAAGAAAATTACAGAAAAAGCTAATGTGAGACTTAAGAAATCATTACAGAATCATGGCAAATCGAAACAAATCGCATGGTTCATATCAGGTTGAATGCTAAAATATAAGACAAAATATAAATAGTAATAATATAAATGATCAAATAAAATAATAGTTGTGATAAAATAAATAACTTTCTATAAAATATTCTTAAAAAACAAAAGTGATAAAATAAAAAAGAGAAAAAATCAATATAAATTGACATCTCAGTTTAATAACATTTTTTTATCTCTTATGATGCATTAAAAAAACAAAAAACAACAGAAATATGTTATAACAATGAAAAACTCATTATTACAAAAATTATAATAATTATAATGCATTTTCAATACTTGAGAGGTGAAATGGTGGTCTCCATTTTATACTTTAAGCTCAAATTTACCTTTAGGTTTGACTACTAAATAATTGTGAATTAATTAAACCATTTTTTATTATAATAATTTTATGTATTCAATAATTCTAATACAGTAAAATATACGAAGACCACAATCTCACCGTTTCTTGTTGCTATTAAAAGTTTAATTTGAACATTAATTTTTTTTGCAGTATCCCAGTCCACTACAATAAATTATAAACAATAAAATACATCCAATAATATCATAGGTGATGCATTACATTATAGGTAAAAAATAGTGCAATCGAGTGAGGATACGCAGTGATAACAGAGGTTTAAAAGTTTCTAATCAAAAATAAGTAGAATAATTTTCCACCTTGAAGAACAATATGATGTATTGAATAGCTGAAGATGTCCGAGGCTTGGCGACAAATTGAAATAGTAGTACGATGCGCTCAGAACTAATCATAAGAACAATATTTTAAATAGTATATTTATAAACAAATACTCAGCTGATTAGTTATATACATATTCAATTTTTTTTCTCTGTTTTATATACAATTCGTAAATATTTGATAAAATAACACCTTATCGTACAGTTCTTTTCTCTTCTACTTATTACAATACCTTAATCACACTCACACACAGTTGTTGGGCAATTAACCCCCAATGTAATTGGGAAAATAAACAAAGTTATAAGAATTTGTGCTCTGAGAGGCCAGCTCCCCTGAATGTGCACTGCATCTGAAATCAACAGTATATACAATAACATTGCCTCCCTTGAAATCTTTTAACTAGGGGGAAAAAAGGTCTACTAGTACAAATATATGTTTGCGTGTGTTTATATATTTCAGGGGTGTGTATATAAACACAAACATAACATGGGTTATTCCATTGAGTTTTAATTTACAAGTGTCATGGTTTTTTTTTTTTTTTTAATATCATTACTCGTTAATTAATAAAATACCAAAGAAAATTAGCACTATTTTAAAGATTGATAGTGCAAATTGAACATCTTTATAACAATCTAAGAAGAGAAATGTGCAATATTACAAAAAAAAATTCGTACAAAATTGTGTATTTAAGCATTTACAATAGATTATTATAAATATGCAAATGTGGTATAATGCAGAAGCATTTTCTAATAACTAATTAGTAATGTATAACTATGATTGGTAATATAAGATTTTAGCATGTGGAAAAAATGTTTATAAATATCATACAGCTATGAAAAAATGCACCACTTAAATTACAGTCGCTTTTTTAATTTTTTTTTTTTTTAATTAAAAAAAATGTTGTTGACACTACTGCTGTAGACACTAATCAAACCAAACAACCCATTGCATAAAAACGCAGCAACCAAGCAATTAATTTTATTCATTGCAAAATTGGAATGTGTGCAAATGCACACAAATACTTAAAATAAGACACACAGCCATAAAAACACAAAAAACGGGTAATGGTGTAGGATATAATAATAAAAAATCGAAAAATAAATATGTAAATAAATTATTTTAAAAAAAACAAACAAAAAAACGCATAATGAACACTCATGTATGTAGCTGCACCATGCAGCCTCAGCAAAATGGAACAATTCATACACTCATTTCAATGCTAATTGCAAGATGTTCAAGATAGGCTTTTGTAAACCCCAAAAAAATGAGAAAATATTTAGTAAATAAACGGACTCTATAAATAAGTTAATTGTAATATTTCGCTAGCGAGTCAAAGCGCCCGCTTGCCATGCAAATAATTTGTGTAATAATATTCCCCAATTTACCTTGAGACATCATTAGCAGGTTTCCTAAACTGCAATTGCCCTCAATGCATGTGTGTATGAACATATAGTCGATTATATATTTAAACACACATGCAATTTTACGCACCACACATACAATATATATATACCGTATTTTTTTTTTCCGCTACACTGTTAAGTTGGACATTAAGTAAACATATTACAACGTATATATATTTATGTATATCATGTGGTATGAGTTAAAATTTTCAAATATTGTTAAGGCAGGGAAAGAGGTGGCACTGCAACACAATCAAGGATCGAATAGGACTGAAAATGTACTAGTCAAAATATGTAAAAGCAGATTCACTTAAAACAAACAAACAAAATCAAACAAAATAAAACAGCAAAGGAAAAAAATAGCTTGGGTACTATATGATGAATGCAAAACTAGACTTAACTGTAGCTTTCGTGTACTTTCTGTATAAACAATTCCTTCCTTCATTTAATTTTAAAACGTACATGCACATAAATTACACCTAACCACAATATATTGCAACATAACAAAAAAAACAATACATTGAGAGATAAACCAAATATTACTTAGAGATAAAGTATGTTTATTTTTTTATTTTTTAAGTTTACTATATAAGCAAAATTTGATCGTTATTGATTCATTATGGTCTAAACTCGCTGATTTGGTCTGAACACAGACCGAATTAATCTGTTATAACCAATTTTCATGTTTTTCCGCAGATTTTTTTTATATTTTAAATAACGACTGCTTTTCTCTAAAAAAAGGAAAACAATACACTTAACACCTAAAAAAAAAATAGTGGTTCTACTAGCAAACTGGTCGAGCTGTCTTCACATTCGTATAGTCTGAGCAGTTAATAAAAATAACAATAATGTGGGAAGTTTAGGTTCTGACAGGTAAGATCATTGTCAGCCTTCTGTTTGTTCTTACTTCTTTTTCTGGTCTTTCTTTATTTTTTCAACCTGCGGTTATTTGAGCGTCTTAACCTGTTGCTGCTTTCATTTAAGCATTTAATGATCAAAATGCGCTTAACCAGTTTGTAAGTAGAACTGTAATTTTTAACTATTGAATTGATTATACTCCATCATTTTTTTGTAAGAAAAAATTTTTGTCTAAATAAAAATATGCATAGTGCTTTAATTAGAGAGAAAAAAATGCATAAATTGTATAAAAAATGCAGGGCCCCTAACAAACAAGGTATATTAAAGAAATGTTTAATTAATTTTAAAATAATTTTATGAAACCTGTTCAAGTAGACAATGAATCTAAGCTGGCACAATTCATTGTTCTAACCAATTTTCCTATTGCATGCACTTTTCTTTGTTTAAAAATGAACGAAAATTTGACTATGTGGCTTTTTTTTCCAAAGTAACTTTTCCTTTTTTTTTTCATCAAAATATTTCTTTATTTATTCATGAAGGTATTGTTAATACATCAAAGTCATCATGCATATAGTTAAGGAAAGAAACACACTATAAGAGACACAGCAACAGCAATAGCATTAGCAATCACAAACTGCGAACGAGCGGACAGTCTGAGAATGTAGGAAAGTGTCTTACAGCTTGGTCAGTGGAGCTCTTGCTGTAGGGAACTGGAATCAAACGCTCTTGCAATTCACCACCTATCACCTTCAAGAGTAAAGGCCAATACAGCAGTGAGAAGATTGTAGAAACAACATAAAAAGGAGAATAGGGTGCTTTACTACTTAAAAATATTTCGATTTTTTCTGACCTTTTGCAAACCGAATTATAAATAATTACACCTTTTTTTTTTAATTTTTAATATTAATTTTCATTTTTTATTTACCATCTATTGAAGATGTTATGTTTATGATCTATTTATGTTAATGATTAATAAGCAATATTAATCATTAACATAAAGAGAAAAAGTGTAATTGTTTACAAAATTGGCTACAAAAAATATTTGTGTCAGTAAACTATGATGCTGTAAGTGAAAAGTATTATAAACATTAAGAAAGTCAGGAGGCATCATTTGGAAATAAAATTACTACAATGTGAGCATTATGGCTGAGATGATAGTGATGTATAGACAAGTAATGTGGTATTAACCTTTTCGGGACTGATTTTCGAATGGTAAAACGCGTTCCCTCGCTTATAGCCTTGGCCCAATTTTAAAACGTTGCTTATGTTGCAATTATGTTCAAAATTTGACAGTATGTTCCTCAATAAAAATTAAAAAAAAAAAAAAATGCAAAAATTACTGTGAACATAATGTAAAACTAGCCCCATTTGGTAGATAAAAAGCGAAAAATCAGAAAGACAGAAGGGTAAATGGTAGGACGGGTAGGAGATATTGTGGCCGAATTGTCTTCTAGAAAAAAGAAAGCGCATTTTTGCAAAGTTTGAGGGAGAGGACAGATTGTGAAAAGGGAGAAAAGAGTGATCCATTGATTAAGAAGGGAAAGGGAGGATGGCAAAAAAAAAAAAAAAAAAAAAAAAAAAAAATGCCGTGTCCGGCTAGGGCTCCTAGAAAGAAAAAAAAAACACGAGGGCGAGATAACTCGTCGCAGGGCCTGTGGAGTGTGCAAGCCCAAACAAGATATCTCGTCACTAGTCCCGAAAAGGTTAAAAAAAAAAAAATTAATAAATTAATCATATAAAAAAAAGAAAGAAAAAAGTGTTTTCAAAACAGTATGTCTACACAGTACAATTAATGAATTTTTTAAAAACTTTTGGTAGCTTTGGAGGATATGCATCATAACACAAATGTTTTCAAAATAAAACTGTAAATGTTCAGAACATAGGACTTAGAATAATAGAAAGAAGGTACAGAAAGAAAATAAATGTAGGATGGGAGAAAAATAAAAATTCAAGCTTCATTTTGGGGCCAGTCATTCATAACAATACAACATTCATCTAATTGATAAAAAGGTAAAGGTCAGGAGAAATGTTGCAGCCCCTCTTTCACTCCTTATAATGAACATATTAAAAAATGTTAAGCTGTTGCAATCTGAAACTCCTAATAGATGAGAACAGGCCAATTAAAAACAATAAAAACTAAGTAATAGTTTATTTTATCCAGATCAACAAATTATTATATATTAAAGCCTTTTTTAATATATATATATTATATATACTATTGATAGTATATACTCTTTACAATTTTTTTACATAAAAATATGAACACACATTACTTATAATTTTGGCTTATATAAAAAAGATAAATAACATACTTAGAATGAATAGTTTGCAATAGTTTTCTATCCAAAGAGAATTTTAAGTTTAGCCAAAGGTATAAGAAAATGTTCTAGCAAATTCAGAAATATGGAAAAATAGTTAGGTTCAATTTACCAATAGATCAAGATAAAAAAAAAGAAAGAAATTGGTGCATAGAAGGCACATTTTGTTAGTTGATTCGTAATTAAACCATTATCGATTTCACAATTGAAACTGAATGCGATAAAATTTGAACATATCAACATACAGTGGAGTCTTTTCAGATTGCATTAGCGATGTATATAATGTGATATTCATTTATTGCCAGGTATCACCTCTATAATAATGCAGACAGGTTACAAGCTAATTACAATAAATATATAAGAACTGCTAATTGATGACTTAACATCTAAAAAAATAATAATAATAAAAAAATAATAAAAAACTTCAAAGGTAACTAAAAAAATAAAGTACAACAAAAATACTACCACAATAGAGGAAGCATTAAATCTGGAACTAAATTGTAAAGTTTTTTAATTTTTTTTAAAAAGGTTTTCTTTCTTTTTTTAATAATAAAATAACTTCTAAATACAAAGGGCAATTTTAAAATGAGCAAAGAAAAACAAGACACAAAATACGAGTTAAAAATACTTAAGATATTAAGGAAATCAATTATGGCTATATACTGACTTTTAACAATCGCACTTTCTCCCTCATCTCACTCTCTCCCGCACGCACACTCTCTCTTTCACACTCTTTGTTTTTTCTTTTAAAATTATTTATGTTCCCTTTTATTGATGCCTTAATTTCTTTGATTTTTTTAAAAACTAATTCGAGTTAAATGCAATACAGGTGTATTTTTAGAACAGTTCTTAACAAGCTTGAAAATCCTATTTGTTTTTCTTTAAGCTACAAGATTATAAGACAAAAATATATACATATATTTTTTTTGTAAACAATATAGTATTTTTTTTTATGTTTAGCTTGTTACTACTTAAATTAATGAAATAAATTCTAAACAGTCCTCGTTATTAAATTGAAATATCTTAAACATTCAGTTCAATACTAACGTTACCCCTATTCTTCATTCTAAAGGTTACATATAGTGAAAACAAATGAAGAAAAGATTAAAATACTTATTATTTTTATCGCAAATATTCCACCAGTGTTAAGTACAATATAGTAGGTTTGATTAGAAAATATTCTGATATGTTTTGATATTATTCAGCATAGAAATTACCATTATTTTGATGTAAGTTAAAACAAAAAAAAGTTATTTAGAGGAAAGATTCATCTCGAAAAATTTGACCTTACTGAATAGCCTTGTAAACACTTGAAAAAAAAAAAAAAAAAAATGCAATCCTAGTTTGTGCATATAGATATATATGTATAAAAATGAGAAATTTTATACATATATAGGTATATATACATATAGATTTTTTTTGTAGTAACAAGAAACAAATGGGAAAATATCATTACTACTAGCAATAACAGTTAAAAAAAAAAATATATATTTTTTTCACTTTATTTACACAATTAATGAAATATTTGAAGAATATATTAATTTATTAATTTAGGCAAAGTTAGATAGCCATGTTTCATTTTAATGGGAATCACAACCACTGTTGATATTTTGCAAATAAAAACGGGTTAAAATGGGTGAAAAAAAAATCTTAAAGGTGTATTGTTTGTGTATTTAGGACTAAATACTGGTTTCATGGGGTATTTTTGATAAGTCTGTTATTAAACTACTCGAGGCAGTAACTGTGCGGCGATTGGGATCATTTGGGATGGAAAGTGTGCTGCGACTTGGTTTTGTTAAGAAGGAGTTGTTCATTGGCGTTGGAGTTTTCACAGGGTCCTCATCAATAAAGGTGATGTCTGACAGTGGTCTTGGGCCTGTGTGACTTCGTGAGCTGCGCAAACTGTGTAAACTGTGCATACTATGCACAGATCTGCGCTCTTCCAGGTCTTCTAGCGTCGACTTGAATGCTCTTATTACTCGGAGCTGGAAAACACAGGGAGGGCGTTGAAATTATCCCTGATGATTGCGTCTCTCTGAATTTTGTTGCCCATGCCACGATTTTTCCATTAACACACTCATACCAATAGTAATAAGAAAAAAGATAGAAGTCTGACAAATGAAAGAGCCTGATGAACTGACATACATACAGTTATATGAAGTATGAAAAATGAAGTGTTCATGTATGCTATGATATGATGTGAAAGACCTAGCATTTTTACAAGTTAAGACTGTATAGGAACATGCATACCCAAATTAACCACACCACTAAATTTACCAGAAAGGTAAATAAAAAAGTAGGAACGTGCATGACTTGCACGACTAAAAGAACGACGGATCAAGTGAAAATAGGGAAAATAATTGAAAGTATAAAGGCATCTCAAGGGACTTAAATAATAAGTCTTAATAAGTATTCAACTCAGTAATTATTATAAGATTGAAATTGTAAATCCCATTAAATAACAAGAAAATTTTGAAGTGATTCTTATTTGTAAAAGAATCAAATAAAAATATAAAAGAGGTGGAGCAACAAAAAAATTAAGCAGCAACATTCCCTCCATCATAATTCAATGCATTAATTCCTGCTTATTGTCATACAGAAATCTAATAAAAAATATTAAAACAAAATAATCAATTTTTTCTCAATTAACATGTGTAATGAAAAAACGAATTAATTAAAACTTCAAGGTATGGGAGAAGGTATAATAGATAATTGTTAATTCGGAATGAGAGAGAAGGAGAAATCTCTAAGCAACGGTTTAAAAAATAAATAATTGCGTGTTTACAGGTCAAAGTGGAATATACCCGCTCTGTTAGACCAACAGGGAACAAAAGTAACTTTTACAAAAGTACACCTTTTAAAACATTTTTTTTTGTATAAACAATTTATCTTCTCATTCATGCTAAAGTAAAGCATTAACTTTAAACATGATTCAATCCTATCAGAAGTAGTAGTAAGTACTTTGCAAACTAAAAAGTGGGATTTGATATTGATTTTAAATAAAATAAACTTCCATTCTCTTCTCTCTCACACACACACAGACACAAGCACAAAATCCTTTGTTCTTTATATAAAGTTTTCTTACTTAATTTATGCACAAACTGAGAGAGCATGTTCATATAAAACTAAAACACAAAGTTATACAAATTCCTTAATCAATTGATTTTATATGCCATACTTTTCTTACATATAAAACATCGATAATTTATTTTATTATCAACGTCGAATAAATTTCAAACATAGCATTAGTGCTTTTTCCACTTAAAAAAAAAATATAGTAGTGCGTGTTAAAATAAAATGTGTTAATACGAAGTGAATGTAGGTTAATCATACAGAAATGTTTGAAACAAGAAAGTAAATCAGAAACCATTCACACTATTAAGATAGTGAAATATACCAAAACTGAATAGTTTTAAATAAACTTTAATGGACTAAAAATGTAGTCAAAAAAGAAAAATGACTATCATGCAATTAATTTCAATGAAAAACAGGTCAAATTTAATAACGTTTATCAAAAAACTTATAAGAAAAAACACTGTACAATAAAAAAGGGAACATAATTAAAAATGTACTAGAAGAGAATAGATAATAAAATTGCTTACAACCATTTAATATTATTAAAACATATTAAATTCACTAGTTTCGTGGTCCGCTTGACCAATTAATATCATACAATTAATTAAGGTTTTTAGTTGAGGTAACAACCTCCCATCTCAACCACACCTTTTGAATTTTCCATCCTTTTTGCCATTTTTCAAATGTCGTGTAATCAATTTGATTCTCGGCAACAAAATGAAATGGCCATGGAGAGCTTTAGTGAAGGATACTTCATTTTAAACTTATTAAATTCACTAGTTTCGTGGTCCGCTTGACCAATTAATATCATACGATTAATTAAGGTTGAAAGGTGAAAGGTAAAAAATTGTTGGTGTCTGAGTGGATCGAGGTCACGATAGCTCAAGTGGTAGAGCAGCAACGTATCTAGCCGAAGATCGTGGGTTTGAATCCGCTCGTGCCACTGACTTTTTTATCTCAACTAAAAACCTTAATTATTAAAACATTGGACAAATTCGGAACTGAAAAAAAGTTTTTTATTGAAGGCTATATAATGAGATATGACAAGATAATCTAGAAATGGGTAAAATGGGAAAGCAGACAAATTCATTTATAAAAGTATAAGTGACTTGAAATTAATTGGTAGAGATGAGAAGAAAACAGAAAAAGAAAACAAATTACATTTAAAAAAACTTTACACTGTTTTAAATCCTTCATTATCTCTAATCGTAGAATTTTCCTCTTAATTTGAAAAATATACATAGTAATTTATAAAACGAATTTTACCGTACGAATACATGAGAAATGAATAAAACTAGAAAGGGTTTTCTTACTATAAGATTAAGAATAGCCATTTACTTAGACAGCCTCTGGCACTGAGGAAAATTATGGCATCGGTAAAGTCCAGAGTCGATTGTGATTGCATTAGGGCCGTCAGACATTGGGGAAAATAAAACTACCAGGGCAATGAAGTGGCTGAAAAAATTGACCAAGGAAAGCTAGATGAGGGCACCTATTGGCCTTGAACACTTTTGTGGTTCAAACTGGCAAAACTGTGAATCCATCAGACGATGGATAAGTCCTCCATTCAATGTCCTGCCTGGACAGAGGCATGCAAAAGAATTCATACAAGGGCCATCGCAGAAACTAAACGCAGAACTAATAAATCTAGGATGTGTTAGAACTAGAATAATAGTTGGGACTGCTGACTCCGAAGGCAAATGTAGGCCAAGATACTCCTTGGAGAGGAAAAGCATGAGCCTGAAGGATACACATGGGAGTCTGAAAAAGTTTTGAGATCTGGTAAAAAACCTTAAACTTAATGAGGAGCTTGAGACCAACACTGGTCGTGGTGCACAGGTTTTAAAGAGGCCGACGCCTTTAATATTTAATTTTTCACTGTAAGATTGCAGTTGAATGAAACAACGTAAGAATTGATGGGGTGAAATCAAAATGCTAACTGCATAACATGATCTGTATTTATGCTTTTAATGTTTTTAAATTCATTCGGCTTTTGAACTGAACACATTTAACTGTTGCTTTAATATAAAAGATATTTAAGATAAAAATAACGCCTCAACAGTTTTAATGAGGAAGTTCTGTGAATATTTGCTTAATGAATACAGTTAACCTACAATGATGCAATTAGTATAAAGTAACATTACATAGTAGAAAGAACACAGTGTTTTTTTTTTGTTCCTCTCCTTTTGAAAATATGAATAAATTGTTTTAACGGTCTAATGACAATTTGCTGCAAATAATTTCTAAGTATTCTGTTCTGATTCAGTTTTGGTGTATTTCAAAAATATGAACAATTATTTAAGAGAACATGCTTCTTAACAGTAAATCTTGAATTCACATGGTTAACAACATAAAGAATAAACAATTTCCGGTAGAAATCATGATAAAGAAAGTTTCAAAGAACACAATTAATAATTAACACTTGAGTAATATATGTATGAACATATTTTATACATGCATATCCATACACAATTATATAATATATATAGTATACTATATAGTGTATATGTATATGTATATATTTATTTTATTATATAAGCTAACAAATAACAACTGGATTAGAAAAATAATCTCAGGTAAAAAGCATAAATATATTGTAATATATAAGTATGCAATCATGCAGAAGCAATAGATACATGTAATACAGATTAAAAAAAGAAAAAAAAAGAGTACTAAAATACATTATTATAATAATTTTAAAAAGGTTATGAATTCTATTTAACTTAAATAGATTTTGGACATGTTAAATCGTTTTGTATATAGCAATTTTATGAGAAAAAAAAGAAGATAATTCAGACCCCCCTCCAAATGATATCAAATTGTTATATGAAATCATGTTGCTAAAAATAAAAAAAAAAGAAGGAAAATGGTAAATAATCGAGTGCATACAATTTGTGTACTGAGTGTGTGTGTGTAAAGTATACAAGGTAGTATAGATTTACTTTCATTACCATACACGCGCACACACACTCACAACACACACACGTACACACACAACTTTCTCATGCCTACCTCCACCAGGTTAATATTTAGAATTCATACAATCCTCCTTAAAATATAGAAAGGATGTAAGGATGTGGGAGGTTTTTTTTTTCTTTTTCGGAATGTGGATTTAGAGTTCAATGGCAATTAGTACAATTTTAGTTTCAATAGTTGTCTCCCTAGAAATGATAAAAACTATAAAATTTCTTATATTTCAACAAAGATACATATGACTATAATAAAACCTTTGACAATCAGTTAAGTCAATGATTTCTAAGACTATATGCAATGGAATTTTAAAATGATGGAAAAATAATAATTAAAAAATAATAATAAAAGGTATAATGAAAGAGATAAAACTGGGAAGGGGAAACGGTAAATTTTATCTGCATAACTGAATAGAACAGTTAGTTGATTATTGCATTACACCTGAGACTATACTTGTTAAGAGTAGATATTTAAGGTTTTTTCATTAAAGGGAATTGTTAAAATTCTAATGTAATAATTAACAATTTTACCTGAGTTTGCAACCTAGTTAGTCCCCTTATCCACAAAATTTGTCCGGCTCTAGGTTTCTTGTCACTATCTGGATCAAATTTTTCCTCACCTAAATGCATTGTTTCTGCATATTCATCAGGGTGTCCTCTGCCCCATCTAAAGTTTCAATACAAAATTATAAATAATCATATATGAAAGATCGATATTATAAATGGGGTAAGCATTTAAAGTAAAGTACTAAGTTTTTTAAATTTTTATTTACATATCTGGCAAAAGCCACTGGATGAACTGAGGAAAAAAGGATACTTGAAATTTATCACTGCCTTGAACCGATAGCTGATATTGATGTCAGCCTTAATATTATAATTGTAAACAAAAAATCAAGCATAAGGCAAATTTGAAAGAAAAACACTCAGTTCCTTCGTCAAATTTTTGCAGGATCTACTTCATCAGGATTTTGAAACCATTTATAATCATTAAGTGCTAAGAAAGAAAGGTTACAAATGTGGGATTACGGGTTTTAATTAATCTTTTCCCTGGTGATACTAGGTCAAAAAATATCGAGTGTTCTTGTTGTTCTTCAATGAGACCTAGGGGCCAAGAAAAAAATATAATTGTTTAAAATATTCTTTTTCTGCTTTTGTTGAGCATTGCAGGTTATAGCTCAACGTTGCTCAGTCAGAAATGATATATTTCAATGATGATAGCCATATGAAATAGCCGTCAAAAAAATTTGATTATAGCGACTGCAAAGTACATTAAAGTACTTTTTTCATACTAAGACACAAAGTTTTTCACACACAAACTAACTTATTACCTTATCCTAAATCATATCTGTCCGATAGGTTCTTTTAAGTACGAACCTAAACCTCCTTCACCCTTATCTATTATGCATAAGTGGGTGTTTTGCAAGGCAACATGCTTGGTCCGAGTCACTATATACTACTGGGCACTCTCGACACGACACGCAAGAATGGCACAATTACACAGAAGACAAACACTTTGAGCCCTGAAGATGATCTCAATAAAGATCGAAACGTTGGCACGATAAAGAAAATATTTTTCTGAAACCTACGTCACACTAGACCGCATCTCACGATTTCTAAATAAAAAAACTATATACTACATTCTATCAATCCAGATTCTCCTCACATATAATACTGTTATCCTTTCTGCAAACCAAAACTGAGTGGTCTTCATAAACCTCCAAGACAATCTGTTTTGAAAAACCTTTCAAGATACGGAGGATCAGACTCAACAAACCACCCTTCATTGGCCTATCTGTTCCTCTCTCACCAGTGCGTCCACTATTTGGGATTTTACATCACCTACGAATTTGGAACTCCACGGTCGAATAAAAGAGAGAGAGAAAAAAAAAACTGGTGGTATTAACTGGTCAAAATGATGACATGTTGAAACTCTCACTACAAGACAAATGCTTCATCTACAACAATACTGCAACAAATCTGGATGTGGAATGGAACTGTGGGATTCAACCAATTCCAACCTATAAAGATTCTAATATGGTCCAAAATCCTTTAAACTACTGCCCAAGGTGATGTGGTATGAATGTAATTAATGGATTACTTCTTCCCTGTTATAATGTTATAATACAAAATTTAGAGAGAATTTTTTTTTTAATTCACAAAATTATGTTGAACCTGCACTAAGCCACTTACTAGGTCCATCTATTACTCAAACACGATTTTACTTTGTGCCATCTTCACTGAGGAACTGTTCGTGCCAATTTGATCTAACACTCGCCATTATAAATGACAAAACTGACTTAATTTATTATAATTATATGAGTTATTATTATCAAAATTTGAGCAAGTATATGGTGTAGACTGTTTGTTAAATTTTCATAAATCTTACAATTGGTTTACTGGTTCTGGTTCTTGGTTAGTAGTTAAGTGCCATGTGAAGAGTCAATATTGTCTTCTCCAACCTAGATTTTCTTGAATCTTCTTCTTTCTTAGTCTTAGAGACAGCAATGGCTAAGTAGTTAGGGCATCCAACTCATATTTACCACGCTAGTGGTTCTGTGTTCAAATCCTAGCAGAGCCCATGGTTTTTTAATTGATTATATTGGGTTGTCCGGAAAATAATGCAGGATTTTGGTATTAAACAAAAAAAAAGAAACTAGTTACTTTAAAGCAATGTTCTTTAATCAAAATAATTTCCCATACTCTCAATACATTTCTCCCAACGTGTTGGTAACTTATTAATTCCGTCTGAGTAGAATTCAGAATTTTTAGAATTGATAAAGTCAATAAATGCATTTTCCAGT